TTTTTGAAATAAGTCGCCATTGTTCACCATGTTTGTTTACTGCTTGAAGCAGTGTTTGTTCCTGTTCGTGAGTCCACAGGTTATATTTACTTTTACTTTTTGTTGCGCGATCTTCCTGTCTCTGAGGGATCAGTCCATTATATCTTAATCGTAGAGCACCTTTAGTTCTCGCTGAATCAAAATATGTTTTTGAAATAAGTCGCCATTGTTCACCATGTTTGTTTACTGCTTGAAGCAGTGTTTGTTCCTGTTCGTGAGTCCACTTATATTTACTTTTATTTTTTGTTGTGTCATCTGTTTCGCTTCCTCGCCTTTTTGATAAAGCCTCTTTATACAAATTGTAATATGTTTTATAATTCAATCCTATTGAACCTCTATCTAATACTTTAACTTTAGTTGATTTTGATAAATTTGATAGTATTTTTGATGAAGTTTTTGGACTTATATATGAATCGTAATATTCTGCTGTTATTCTATCAGTCAATTTTGTTGAATCTCTATTTGTCTCTTGATAATCATTTTTATCTGATAGCTGTGTTGAAACATTTGATGTTATTTTATTAGTCAATTCCATTGAATTAATATCTGCCTCTAGGCATCCATTTTTATCTTGTGTTGAATCTTTTATTAATGCAGGTAAATATAAAGGATTTTTTGATGGTGTCTCAATACTTTTATTGGTCAATCTTATTGTATCAATAATGTTTGTTTCTGAAGGCTTTTTTGATAACATACTTAAATCGTCTATAGAGTTTATATGAATAAATGAGTGTTGAAAATAACTCTGAGACTCATTAGACTGTTCAGTTTTTATCCATGGTTTCGTTTGCTCTTCTTTAGATTTATAATTCATTTTATTCATAAGATTAACCGAACTACTCCTTGGTAAGTTTTCTAATTTTAATGTCTCTATCTCTATTTTATTTTGTTTTATTCTATCTGTTTTATTTTTATGCGAATATTTTCTAGAAGCTGGAATTTCGGATAAATGACGTGTTGATTGATTTGTTAAATATTTGTAAAAAAAATTTCCCTTTTTTGTTACGCTATAAATGCTTCGAACAAACAAAAGAGATTTGGATTCAGATCTCATCATAATGCAGTATGTACAAGAAATGGTGGACAAAGATATTTTCGAGATCCAAAAATCATTTATAGTTATGCGAGATCAAAATATTTTGATGATCAATTCATAATAAAATTATATTCTAATAAACACATTACGTATATAAATAGAAACTGAACTGAAACATTCTATCAATTATTAAATTTTTAATTACTATGATTATATCACCAGCATTACGGAATTACAATAAAAAAAAACAAGAGTAATTACTTTATTTTCTTTAAAAAAAAACACTGATGAATGATAACACAGGAAATAATAATTACGACAAAATTGTTTTACAAAACAGATAAATTTCCTCCTGAAGAGGTGGAATAATTTATTTTCAGGACTATATTTAATTGGGAGATTTGCTCCATTAATTTTTTTATCTATTTATTAAAATATCAGTTGATTCTTGAATGTGTGCCTATTTTTTTCTATAAATTCTATAAATTTTATATAAAAAAGTAAATTCGATAAATCTTATATGAAATTATAATAAATTCATTTTTTGCTATTACGCGTTTTATCATCAATCTAATGGCAGAAACCAAGTTCATATATCAAGAGGAACTCGTCTTGACTACAGAAAATGTTTGTTCAGTGCAGCCGACTTACAAAAAACTATATGTAAATGAAAATGCAATTTAAATTTAAAAGATGAAATCACTAAGTTTAACTACAAGTTGAATCTAAAAAAGTTTCAATGTCGTAATATTCTTGTTAAATTCAATCCATCGAAACCTAAACCCAAAGTTCCTTTCTACAACTGATTTTTATTGGAAGTTCTAACATGTCAATTTCCCAAGTCAATTCGGAAGATATTACTACTGCTACCACAATAAATTTAGGTGATGATGATAAAATTAGTGAAGAAGGAAATAAAGAATCTAAATTAGAAATTAGTTTTAAAATTTTTATTAAACTTGCGTATGAAACTTTTATACCAACAAAACAGTACAAAGAAATTGTATCAAAAATTTATTTTTAAGATATAAATGTTGCCCAAATTCCAAATCCAAATTTCCAATCCCAAATATTAAAATAATTTGGAATTTGGGTAATATTAATAGGCGTAGTAAATAAAAAATTATAACTATAAAACATTTTTCCTCTGAAGTTCTGACAAATAAAATATTACTAATTATAAAGAAAAAAAAAAGAATTAGAAACAAATAATTCAACCCAAAAATAAAGTAGTTTAGAACCCAACTATCTTTATCGATAAACCTATATAACTATGCAATTTGATGCAAAAACTACAATTCTTGCTTTGGCCTTCTTGAACATGGTTTGGAATCGTAGAGTTCTTGGAAATTCATCATTGTTTCCAATGCCGAGAGTGGAACTCTTGAAATAGTATAATAAATTATCTCTGAATGACTTAAAAATAACCGTAGCGTCAGTTTTATTGCTGATAAATAAAACATGATTTGCCGACACCCGAAGAGAAAGTTGGGATCATAATCTCATTTGTAATTATATGATAAAGGTCCTTGCAAACTTTTCTTTACATTGCACGGGTTCCTCAATCACTGAAAATGGTTTTCTTTCATACTTTATTCTATATATTAACATTTTTCATACGATTTTTGGCATACTTGGATTCAAAGATATTTTGCAATTTTATCTAAACATACAAATTTATTTGTTGAAGAGTTTACCTTACCTACCATAAGTAATCAAAAAATGTCATCTCATGGAAATGCTCAAGGTTAATTAAGAAAACTACAATTAAGGATGAGACTCTTCAAATAAGGAAGGCGAACCAATTGAGAAAGTTATAATAAATAGTAATAAAGAAAAAAAAATAATAAGAAGTTATTATTATTTGTATTTTGTAGTCAATATGAATGGATGGTAATATTTGAAATACTTTTTTTTTAAATTAAATTCAATATTCTCAAATACTTGATAGATTTCACACTTTTCAATAAAATAAATATATTCTATTCACATTATACAATAATCATGAGTAAACCTAAAATATGGATGTTCGATAACTTAGCATGATTAAATTTGATTAAATGTACAATTGTATAGCTAAGAATTATCAGTCATAGAAAGTCACGTAAAATCAATTTAAATTAAAAATAAAAATAATTATTTTTAAATATTAAGATCTTTACAAATATTAATATTAGAAAAATAATTTAACTATTATTTTGAAGCTTATAATAAGAGTTTTTTAATAGTTTTAGAATTTATATTTAATAGTAATTATTTAATAAATTTTATAATTGCACTATTATTTAGCTTTTGTGCCAGAATTTAACCATTGTGCCAGATTGCACCAGAGCTAATTCCTGGGCTCAATTGGCTAAATTCCTGGCTCAATTCGTATTGCACCTACCATCCCTAGCTTACTTCTCTAGATTCGTATTCGTCTCACGTGGGCAATTATGGTTCATAAAAGCCAGGAACTCACAGTAGTAAAAGCTGCAGTAGATTTTGGTGATAAGAAATTCGCAACTGGTCTCTCATTTGTGGCATTGTCGTGTGTTCGTTCTGTTGGATATCTTCTTCTCAAGCCCTTCAATTTTGAGAGACTCCAGCGTATCCAAGAGTGCAAAAGGTTACAAGATTGAAAGGAAGCAGAAGAACGTTTGGCTTCCATGATACATAGTTTTAATAAAATTTAAAGTAAAAATTTAAAGTAAAGTAATAAAAAATCAATAAAATGAAAACAAAAATGATTTTATTACAACGGGATATCCTCACGTTTGTTCACGTGTGATCAATTTTTCAAACATAGTGCATAAAAGTATAATGTCTTACACTACGCTCTGGACAAAAAACAACATAAAAGTTTTATTAATAGTTTTAATATTAAATTTGACAATTTATTCAGAAATTACTTTTATTATCATAATGAAGAAAAATACAGAAAATACAGAAAATACAATATTAATCTGAATTTGTTAAAGATAATTTAAATCATCATCAGTACAAATTTGATATTTATCAATTGGTTTAAATCTTATTAATGTTCTATAATATTTGGCCAACTATTTTTAGATAATATTTTAAATATTTTAATAATAATAATAATAATAATAATAATAATAATAATGTTAAAATTAATTAATTAAATTAAAAATTAAAAAAAAAAAATTCTAGAAATTAAAAAATCTTATTGCCTTTACTGGAAGTTTTTCTTCAACCATTTCAAGTGGATAAGGTATAATATGTCCAGTATTCCTAATAATAGTAATAAAATAAAAAGGATAATATCATTAAATTTATATCATTGTTGTCATTGTTATATAAATTAAATTAAAATTTTATATTAAATTAATTAAATTTTTTATGCCACACCATTCAAGAAAAACCACTAATTTATTCTTATTATTTAAATCTATTCTACAGATGTTAATTACATCTTGATTCCAATCTTGGGAAGTTTTAGAAGGATTAGGTTCCACATCTCCATCTTCATCTTCATTGTCACCTTCATTATCACCTTGTTGTTGTTGTTTAGGAATAACAATTTGATCTGATTCATTTGAATCATAAGCAGCTTCAAAATCTATAAATTCTAATTTTCTCTGATGACTTTGAGTATTATCATTATTATTGTGGTTATCATTTTTATTATTATTTGATTTTTGAATTGTTGTTGGTAAGAATCTTGGATTTCTCTTATCTCCTTTCTTAAGTTTTGAAACATCACGTTTTGGTGCATGAGAAACTTTTCTTGAAGAAGAAGATGTTTTTGTTGTTGTTTTCAGGTTTCTTCTTGAAAGGCTATTCCAATATTCTTCAAGTAATTCCGGTGAATTACTATAATAATATATAATAATATATATATATATATATATATATAGGGAATAATGGAATAATGGAATAATGAATTCATTAAAAAAATGCAATAAATCAATATTTTAATAAATATTTTAATATATATATATATATTTATTTATTTACAGATCTTTTTCATCGACCCAACTATTATAAACCGATTCCCATCCTTTCCATTTAATAAAATATTCGAAAGTTTCCTATTCGACAAGTTATGTAAAAAAAAAAAATTATTATATATATATATATATATCAATAGATAAAATATATATAAAAGAAATTTAAATGTATTCAAATAATTTTTATTTATTTAAGAAATCGATACCTTGCTTTCATTTTGATTATGTTTCAGAATTTTTTCAACTTCCCAATAATTATCTTCGTTATCGTTATCAGTTTCGTTGTCATTATCATTATCATTTTCATTTTCTTCATAATTATTATTATTTTTCATATGAATTTCATTATCAACAATATTAATAATTTTGATATTATTAATCTCTGCCGAAATTTCTTGCATCTGTAGATCATCATCGCCCTTATCTTCATTGAATAGTATTCCTAATTGATTAAAATAATTTTAAGACCCTTTTCCACCAAAAAAAGAAAAAAAAATTCATTATGTAGATAATTATGTAAGAAAATAAGGAAAAACACAAGACCATTCATATAATCCATTATTTTTTAAAAAATGATTTTCTTTATCCTTTTTTTTTATTTATTTTAAAATGTGTATTGTATATATGGAGAAAATCATTATAAAATGGAATACTAACTATAGTTTATTTTTTATTTTTTATTATAGTTTATTTTTATATTATAAATCAAATGATACACGATAAATGGGCAAAATAAATAAATGGATTGGATAAATACAAATAAATTAAAAATCAAAATAAACAATTTCAACTACTTTAAAAAAAAAAGCCGAGAAAATGAAGAAAAAAAAGAAAGGAGAATTTTTCTCTTCATATTTCTCCTTTACTCCATTTTTTTCAATACTTTTTCATGTATACTGTACTATACATAAAATAAAATAAAATAGATATACATATTTTTTTATAAATACACCAATTAAAATCAAATAAAATTAAATTTTATCGTTTAACTTTTAACTTTTATCATGAATAATTCTATTACTTCTACTACTACTACTTATATTAATAATGATGATGATAATAATAATCTCACTAATCATGAAGATAAACGACGAAGTGGTAGCCCTACTCCCTTACGTAAGTATATATAAATATATTTATTTAAAATGAATTTTGAAAAATAAATAAATGTTTGAATTTGAATTTTTGAAATAAATTATTTTAATTATTATTATAATTATTATTTTAATTATTATTTACAGGCAGTCTAAATCGAATATCAATTAAATTCGATAAACCTCCTCCGTTACCAAGTCATACAGTAACACTTGGTGAAAATTCTGTTCTTTCTTTGGCCTGTACCTGTGATTGTCTTTTCAGTGGTTCACAAAGTCCTAACATTCAAGTATGTAAAAATAAATAATTTATTTATTTAATTGATCAATTAATTGATTGATTGATGGATGATTTAATTTTTTTTAATTGAATTTGAATAATAATAATGATGATGATGATGATTTTATAATTGAAAAATTAAATTAAAAATTAAATTAAAATTAAAGGTATGGAATTTAAAAACATTTCAACAAATAACAGTGTTGAAAGGTCATTCCGGTAGTATACTTTGTTTAGAATTGTCGAAAGATCATAAAATGTTATTTAGTTCATCTGGTAAGTTACTCACTATTTATTTATTTATTTTTTTTGATTTAATTATTTTATCTATTTTTAATTTTATTTTATTTTAATTTATTTTTTTTTATTTAAAGGCGATGGAACAGTTCGAGTTTGGGATACAAAATTATTGAAATGTTTATGTGTAATACAATCCTCTCATGATGTTGGAGATTTGTTTTCAGTGGTTTATTCAGATTCTTTAGAAACTTTATATATTGGATGTCAAAATACCAGTATACAAGTAAGCATATCAAATGACATTATTATTATAAGTTTAGAGATTTATATTTCGAAATAGTAATTAATTCAAATAATAATAAATAATTTTAGAGCTTTGATCTATCGATTAAAGAAAAATATAAAACCTCACAACCATTTTATTCTTGCAAAAATCATAAATTCTTTGATAACGTCCTGAAATCAACATCTTCAACATCTTCATCAACATCACTTGTTTCCTCTAATGAAATTATTGTTAATACTACTGAAGCATGTATTAGAAAAATTAAAGAAAATGTAAGAGGAGTAGGTATTGGAGAAGAAGAAAGAGAGGAAGAAGAAGAGATAGAAATAGTCGAGAGATATGAAATAGATGATTCATTAGTATATTTAAATAGTCATAATGGATATGTTTATGCTTTGGAATTGGGAAAAACTAAAAATGGAGAAATCTTGATGAGCGGTACGTAATCTATTTCTATACATTTCTATATTTCCATATTTCTACATTTGTATATTTATATATTTATATATTTCTAATTTAAGGATCTGGAGATGGTGATGTAAAGGTATAGTAAATTATATCTATTATTATTTATTATTATATTTATACATCTACTATATATAATAATATATATAATAAATAATATATATAATAAATATATATAATAATATATATATATATAATAAAATATAGGTTTGGTCAATTAAAAAGAATTCCATGGAGCTTTTAAGAGTATTGAAAGGTACTGATGATGCAGGAATTTTAACTTTGGCCTTGTATGATGATTTGATATTTTGTGGTGCTCAAGGTGGTAATATTAAGGTTTGTCTTTTATATTTATTGTTATTTTTTATTTATCTATTATTATTTCTTGTTATCTATTTATTATTACTTAATTAATTAATGTATAACAATAACAATGATATTATCATTACTATTATGTTATTGTCATTTCATAGATATATGATTTGGAGACTTATCAGGTAATTTTAAATATTATTATTAATGATAAGAAATATTAATTTTAAAAAATTACCTATTATTTATAGCATGTCCGATCTCTTATGGCTCATGATGTAAGCAAATATTACTTTGGTAATTATCTTTATTTTTAATAATAATAACAATAACAATAACAATAATAATAATAACAACAACAACAACAACAATAATAATAATAATAATATCATTTATTATTATTTATTATTTATTATTTTGGAAAGGATGATGTTCTTGCATTGGTATTTAGAGGAAGCAATTTATTTTCAGGTTCCGCAGATGGAACTATCAAGGTAATAATAATTATATTTATTATCATTTGTCTATTGTCTATAATTAAATCACCATTTCCTACCTCACCTTAAAAAAATTGTAGAGATGGAGTAAAAATTTTGAAATTTTGGATACATTTCGAGATCATAAAGGAATTGTATTATCACTTGCATTAACACCACAATCTGATATGAAATCATCATCTGATAATTCTAATTTATGGTTGATTAGTGGAGCTAATGATCAATTAATAAAGGTAATCATTTTATATTTTATTATTTATTATTATTATTATCATCATTATTATTATATATCTTATTGTTATTTCTTATTACTAAAAATTGAATTTTTTGGATTTGTGTATTATTATAGTTTTGGAATTTACCTGTGTTGACTATGGCTTCAGAAGGACAAATAGAAGAAGAATCAACAACAGGTATGAATGATTATGATTATATTTATGATGAAATATGATTATGTAATATTATTTATAAAAGAAAAAAATAATTTAAAAATTTCTTTAAATTTTGTTCGATTTAGATGTGATGTTGTATGCATTATCGAAATGGATTTCTTTACAAACAGTGAGTGGAAAACTTAAATGTTTTGAAGAATGTCTTCGTGGTGCTAAATACCTTAAAGGCATATTTGAACAATTAGGTGCTGCTGAATCTTTCTTGGTATGTTTATTTAATATATATTTTGCAATTTATATTACATTTACTTTTATGTTACAATACATTTCATTTTATTTTTTTTATTTACATTTCTGTTACAATTATTTTTATGTTATTTTATTTAAATAGATTCCTAATGAAAAACCAGGAAAAAACCCTTTGGTGTTTGGAAAATTTGTGGGTATAGATGATGAATTATCATCATATAAGTTACCTTGTGGATATTACAAAAAAAAGACAAATATATTGGTTTATGGACATTATGATGTTATTGATGCTGATGAAACAAAATGGAATACAGATCCATTTGAGATGTTTGGTAATTAATTGATTTTATTGATCTGTTCCCTGATTATCTATTTTATTTTATTTTATGATCTATTTATTGAATTCTTATAATTATTTTCTAGGCAAGGATGGTTATATATATGGAAGAGGTATTTAATAATAATTTCAATAATTTTATTTGTTTTCAATTTCAACATTTTAAATTAATTATTTTCAAATTTATTTATATATGAAAAATACAAAAGGTGTTTCAGATAATAAAGGACCAATGCTAGCAACAATATTTGCAGCAAGTGAATTACAACAAGAGAAAAAGTTGAAGGCAAATGTATATTTCTTGATTGAAGGTGAAGAAGAAAGTGGAAGTGTGGGATTTTATGAAGCTTTAGAAAAGTCAAAGGTAATTTTTCTAATAATCTCATTCTTACTTTTATTTATTAATAATTTTTAATCTTTATTTATTAATGATTTTTATTTATTAATAATATTTAGGATCTGATTGGAGAAATTGATGTTATATTTGTTAGTAATTCTTATTGGCTGGATGATGAAATTCCATGCTTAACTTATGGACTTCGTGGAGTTATTAGATCAACGATTGAAGTAAGTTCATCATTTATAATTTATAATTTATAATTTATAGTAATAATTATAATTTATATATTTATAATTATTTTTAATTATTTATATTTACAATTTATAATTATTTATATTTAATAGATAACAAGTTCTCATACCGATTTACATTCTGGTATGCAAGGTGGAGCAATATCAGAGCCATTAAATGACATGGTTAGAGTATTATCAAAACTTATTTCAGATGATAATTATATACTTATACCAGGTAATTTATTACGATATATAAAATATTTTTAATCTATTTTTATATTACATTTTTATATATTTTAATATCTTTTTTTAATCACTTTTTTTTTGTTTAGGATTTTATGATAAAGTGAGACCTGTCACACCTTCCGAACAACAATTATATGAACCACTCGTTGAACTAAAAATTCGGTAAGAAAGATATATTAATTACATTTAAATTATCTGTGATATTATTATGTGTTTACATAATTAACCTAATTTTTTTTATGATTTCAGAGAAACCTTCAACAATAAATCCAATATTTCTCAAAACCATGATGAATTTCAAAAACTACAAAATCGAAAAAAATTAATGGCACGCTGGAGATATCCTTCATTAACAGTTCATAAAATTGATGTCAGTGGTCCAAAGAATTCCACCGTTATACCTTGTAAAGCGAAAGCTAATGTTAGCATGAGAATTGTACCTGACCAAGATTTGAATGTTATAGTAGAATATTTTCAAAGTTATGTGAAATCTATTTTTGAAACTTTGAAAACTGATAATGATCTTTCGGTAAGATATTATTATTATATATATATTATATTATTATTATCATAATTATTATATTATTAATAAATAATTTAATAATTTGCAATCAGATCACCATTAATAGTAAAACAGATTGGTGGTTAGGAGATATAGGAAGTAAATATTATAAAGCTACAGAACAAGCCATTGAACAAGTATTTAATTATTTTTCTAATTTCTAATTTCTGATTTCTTATTTTCTAATCTAATTTACAGTTTCTAATTCACTTTCTTTTCTTTTTTTTTACACAAAAAAAAAAAGGAATGGGGAATAAAACCACTATATATAAGAGAAGGTGGATCAATTCCAACTGTTAGATTGTTAGAAAAAGAGTTTAATGCAGTAACTGTCCATTTTCCAATGGGTCAGGTATGTATTTTAATAATGTTCTTGTTAAATTAATCCTTTAATAAAATAAATGGTTATCATTACTAATATCATTTCTTATTTATTATTACTTTACTCTATTACTTATTTAATAATTAATTAATGAATAAATTAATTAATTAAATATATTTAAATAATTAGTCAACTGATCAAGCACATTTAAACAATGAAAGAATTAGGTTACAAAATCTGTTCAAAGGGAAATTAATTTTCAAACGCTTATTTAGTAAATCAGGTGATGAATTTTAATAGTAGTAATTAATATTATCAGATCAGATTTTATTATATAGTTAATTAGCATTCATTCATTCATTCATTCATTAATGACATTATTAGGCATTATTTACATTTGTTATTATTACATCTATTATTTTACATTTATTGTTATTTACATTATTATTTATACATAATAATAAAATTATTAATTAATTTGTTAATTAAAAAAGAAAGTTGGATAACTTTTAATAATAAATTTTGAATTCATTAATTTAAAATAAAATTTATGATTACTGCAAGTTAGTAAATGCTTAATGTACATTTGTGTGTGTGTGTTGGAACTGATATATAATAACATTTTTACAGATTTCTTTTTCACTTTATTTACGATCTCTGGGTTTTAATTAAATTATCAGCATATAAAACTATAATAAATATAAATTAGTTAAACGCAATTTATTCCCTTTCGGAAAAATTACCTTAAAGAAAGAAGCAATACGATGCTTAGAACAAATGTTTAATTTATGCTATTTTACTTTTTTTTACAATTATTTAACATTTACAAGAAAAACATGACATTAAGATAAATTATCTCAAAACTTTAATAAACCTCCCAACGACAAAATGATTATAATGTAATCATTGACTCTAATATGCTTAAATGTTGTAGTTCTCCTAAACGAAAACAATGTCAAGACAATTATTGAACTAGACATTTCTACTCGAATTTTTGATATTATTCTCAAGTTATAATTAAAAATAATGATTATTTAATTATTGCTATCCGATTATTATACATTTTTTATACAGGTGGTGGTTTTGTTAATTTAGAGAATATTGAAACAAGAAACAAATTTTATTTTCGACTTGATGTTAGCAGCTAATAAATTTGAACTCGAAGAATTATCCGAGAAACAAGAAATCATTCTTATTGAAGATAAACTTTCTTAGTTAAAAACATAAAAACTTTAATAATTTTAGAGATTAGAAAATTTTTACAATGATATTGTTGTAAAGTATCCTAATCTTATTTTGATGCTGAGCATTTTATATCTCTCAAAGAATCTTCTTTAGTATCTCTACTCAACTGAGAGATTTGCAAATGGAAGAGGTCAAAATTTGGAAATAAACCATTAAGTGGGGAATTCCACTCTATCTACCAACTTTGAAGAATTGATCAAGGAAATTTTTTAACTTTAAAAAATACTCTTTAACAATTATTGCAACATATTAGATATATGCTGTGTTAATACTTGGAATAAAATAAAACTTTAAAAGAAAATTCTTTGATAAACAACTCTGGAAATACAACATTTGTCTCCTGTTCAACTCGTAGAATCAATTTTTTTTTTTTTACCAGCAAGATCAATTTTAATTCAAGAATTACATACTCAAGTAAAAGAATTCTTTTTTAACGTAGACATTTTGGTACAGTTATTATTATAAAAGTTATCCAAAGGTCCAAATTCGAAATGAAATTTTACTCGTAAAGTAAATGAAGCTAGAGAATGTGATTATGAAATACAACGTTCTATTGGTGAAGAATCAAATGAAGAAATCGAAGATCTTGAATTAAATTATGTCGATAATGAATCAGAACAGATATACAAGTTAGTGATGAAGAAACCAACAATGATAAAGAATTAAATTTTATATATAAAAAAAGTTATAGATAATCAGTATTTATTATTTGACCCCTTATCACCCACTCCTCCAAGATTCACTTTATTGTCACTTCTCTATTATAACCGCTTCTTCATTATTATTCACTCCTTTGTTATCTCCAGTTCATTTATTATTTCCTGTTTTTTCGATCGCTATTTCTTAAATACACTTCACCAGATTTAATAATTATCTAAGTTTACCTCACGAAACATTGTTAAATCAACGTGAACGCGAATTTTGTAATGATCAGTCATGCAGGATAACCAATGAAATTAATTTAATAATAAACTCGAAAAACGATGCGATGAGCAATCCATCAAATAAAATAAATAAAAAAAAAGGCTCGCTATGAAGTGTACAAAGTATTCATATATATTTTTTATTTTTTTTTTTTTAATAAATAATAAAATAAATAAATAAAAATTGTTTATTTATTAATTACACGTCATATTATTATTTTCAAATAGAAGATACATCAACGTCAATAGTTAATACATAGGATCAATTATATCAATTATACCCAGTATATGAACGTAACTACCATGCCAAGTGACGTAAAGACGCAGAGCATAGAGGTACTATAACATTTTGTATACATTACGTCATATACATTACTTACATTGTATAATGAGATTCCCAATTGCGTAATTTTTTGGGGCGTTTCCATATCGTGATCAAATCAAATTCATATTTATAATTACTTGTGATCTATTTCACTATTCTAGTACACCATTTTGTCTATATATACCCATTAGATGCAAAGTTTACATATAAATTTGTACAACAACGCGAATCAATAATGTCATCTAAATAAAGTATAGATTTACTTTCAAATTATTTATTATATTAATTTGTTTTAAATCGAAATACTTTTTTACTTTTGTCATCTTCTTTCTTCTTCTAATAATAATAAACAATAAATAATAATAATATAAAGTAAAATCTAATAAAATTAAATAATACATCATATTATTTGAATTATTATTATGACTGCGATTCAAGAAAAATTTCGTGTAAATGCAACTCCAAAAATTTCAAAATTAATTATTAATGAAAAACAAAAACAACAATTGACCAATTTATTTAAATATAAAAAAGTAGTAGCTGAAAGTTGGGGAGAAACTGAAGAAGAACAATCAAAAGCAACAGATTTTTTAAAATATAATGGTCTTATAAAAATTCAAAAAAAGAATTCCAGATGGAAAACTCGATGGAGTGATAAAACCAATTGTGCGACCCTTTATCAATGTAGTTGTGGATCAGATATGAGAGTGGTTAGAAAAACCGAAGGACCAAATCAAAGAAAGCTTAGACAAGCTTATGAATTTAATGGATGTTTGGCTTTCGTTAAAATCGAAAAATATAGAAAAGATAAAAAAGATAAAAAAGATAAAAAAGATAGAAAGTATAAAAAAAATAAAAAAAATGATGAAAATGTTAAAAATATTGAAAATGGTGAAAACGATGAAATGGATGAAAATAATGAAAATAATGAAGAAAATGGTAGTGAAACCAATGATAAATTTAAACGAGTACATGGTTATTTAGAACATTCAGAAGCTTGTCATCGAGCATTCCCAAAGAAAAGCACACCAAAATTACATCTTAATGAAGATATTCGAAATATCACTGAATTATTGGTTAGAGCGAATAATTCCATAAAAGATATTATTTCTATTAATCAACAATTCATTAAAAATCATCTTAAAGGTAGAACAACTATTAAACATGAACTTTATTTAATTACTACTTTTGATATTAAGGATGCTAGAAGATTGGTTAAAACTCAAAATCCTTGGATAATTAAAGTTAATAAATCTGTTGATTATAATTTAAAAAAATTCTTTGGATCAAACGGATTAAATGGATTAAATGGATTAAATGGAATGGATTATCCCGAATTACAAGATGCAGTTCTTTACTTTAAACCAAGAACACATCAATATGATCATGTTAGTTTAGTATTAGCAACCAGAGAACAAATATTATTAGCTAAATTATATGGTCATCAAAAATCTATTATATTAGATGGTACATTTCCAACTGGTAATAAGAAAATTCAACTTTATATCATTATGGTTATCGATGAACGAGGTAAAGGTATACCAGTTGGTTACCTTTTATTTACTAGACCTGGTAATCCTGAAGTGACAGGAACTAGTAATCAAGACTATACAATATTAAAGAAACTTTTAGAAGAATATAAAATACAATTAACTAATGATCAACAAGAACCTCGAGTGATGTTTACTCCCAAGGTGAAATATGAAAATTCATTTATTTTAATTTAATTTATATAATTCATTTAATTTTACTAATAATTTGGATTTTATTATTATCATTATTATTAAAGGTTGCAATTATAGATTTTGATTATGTAGAACGTACAGCCGTAAGTGAGATTTGGAATAGAATTCATGTATTTTTTCTACCTCATCGAGTGAATTTATGTTGGAAAACAAAAGCTAATCAATTATTGGGTACGGGAGGTGATGATAATGTCATGAAATTGCGTGAAGATTTGAGAAAAGAGTTAGAAGATCTTTTTACTTGGTAATTTATAATTAAATAAAAATATTCTATAATTTTTAGTAAATATTTATAATAATTATAATAATTATAATAATTAAATAAATAAATTTTATCTCACAGGTTACAATCAGCATCAACAGAAATGGAAATTAGATCAAAACTTCAAATATTGGAAAATTCTGTATCGGTAAATAATTACATTCTTAATTTCCTAATTTCTTTATTTTTTTAAATTTTTTTTTAATTTTTGTTAATTTTTTTTTTTTTCAAAAAAAAATTATATATATTTTTTATATTTTTATATAGAATCGTTATTCAAGAGAATATGAAAAAAAGGCTGATTCCAAAATTTTGGCTTTATTTGATGGTCAACGCGAGATGATAAAATTTCTTCAAAATGAATGGGTTAATGGGTTTATGGAAATGTGGACACATTACGGTAGAATGGCAGTCGAAAGTATGGGAATTGATATAAAACCATTATGGAATACTAAATACTTGGAAGGATTCAATACACAATATAATCCTTCTCGTATGTTAAGATTTCAAAAGAAAGGACATATTTTAAGATTAGATGTATTAAGTTTTTTACTTATAAAATTCATTACTCCCGTATGTAATTTCCAACGTCATCTTTGGAATGAAACAGAAAAATTTATTAAAAATGAACGACCAGCTTTAGATACAGTTTTGGAAGGTGAAGAATTAGAATCAGGACAATGGCGTGGATTATTAGCGCAATATAATAATTCAATTGCATTTGAACAATTTGATCCAAGAATTCAAGAAGTCGCCAATTATTTTATAACTTCACGAAAAATTTCCTATATTGAGTATAATGGTGAATCACTTTATGTTACTGTACAATCAGATATAATAAATGCAGAAATAGTTCGTGACGAACAAGATATAAATTATTATGTAGTTGGTTTATTACCAACTATTAATTGTCATTGTTTTCATTTTTTAATTAAAGGTGGAGCATGTGCTCATATTTTGGCAGCAATACATGCAGTTAATTGGTTACGAAATCAACCTGATTATCCACCGGATTATCGATCATTCTTGGAAGGAGAACATCAAACCATTCCCGAAATTCGATTACCAACTAAAAAAGATGCACTTGAAATATTAAAAACACAAAAAGAAAGGAAAACATTTTATGTTGAACCTAACAATAATAAATCTAATAAATCTAATAATAATGTTGAGATAGAAGAAAGTGATGAAGATTCTGGTAGTGAATATGATGATTATATTAATTCATCATTTTCCGAATTAAATATCAATAACAACAACAATAATAATTTAGAAAATTTAGTAACGGAAAGAAATTATCTAAATGATGAAAATAATATAAATAATAATGAAATTAGTAATAATAATGATGATGAAGTTCGAACTTGGAATGAAGCATTTTACGTTACAACAAATCGATTAAAGGAAAAATTATGTGAATTATCAAATATATCAAATGAATTAATTCAACATAAAGCAAATATTCCCCTGAATGTAAGATCAGATTTAAAAGATTTAGATAGAGAATTAATTACAAATTTACAAACAATGTTAAATAATGAAAATTCTAGAAATATTTTTACAATATTAGATAATATACAACAACATATAGTAACTTTTAGTCAACCAAATAATAATAATTATCCACAGAACGATGATATGGATTTAACTGAATAATAAAATAGTTGATTATATATTTAATTCTAAAGAATATCATAAAAGATATTGTATTAAAATAAACTGTATTCAATTCGAATTTTCTATTTTAAGCAAAGAAACATTAATTGCAGTGCGTTCAATCGAATCAATAACATGCAGTATCATGTGATCTGTGAAATTTATTTAATTATTCCACTCAAAAAAGGGGTTCGGGATTTATTAAATATTTTTCTTTTCTTTTTTTAGAAAATAGAACTTTAAAACTTTAAAATTATAAAACTATAATGATTACCAGGAATTCATCATCTTTAATTATACTTATTGTAATATTTTTCATATCCACTGGAATAGTCATTCAGATACTTGATTATTATTTGCCTAAATCAAGGTATTATTCTTATTACTCCAACTTTATTTTATATTTGATAATTATTATATGATTATATATAATATTATTATATTATTATTATTTTTTTATTATAAATAATATATTAAACAATTACAATTTTTAGTAAAACTGTTTTAAAAAGTTTTCCCAGAAATTTACATGATATAAAACTAATTCATGAATCTTTAACTAATCATGGAAATGAAGATTTGAATGTTTTTATATGTTTTATAATTTCATTTATTTAGTAAGTTTTTTTTTTTTAATTATTTTTTTTTTCAATATTAACAAATAATGATAATTAATATATTATATTAATTAATATTATATATTGTATAATAGTTTTCAATCATTCGCTATTCCAGGAAGTGCAATGTTAAGTATTCTAGGAGGAACTTTATGGGGAGCTTGGAAAGCTTCGCTTCTTGTATGTTTTGTAAGTATTGTTATTATCTTTTTTTTTCAATAATTATTTTAAATATTATTATTATTGTTATTATTACATTCCAAAATATTTTTATATAGGGTTCCGCTATAGGAGCTACAATATGTAATAGGTTATCTTATCATTTAGGAAGAAACATCATAAGAAAATATTTTGCAAGAAGAATGGATATTTGGAATGAACAAGTAAATAAAATAAACAAATTAGTTATTTATTTATTTTCATTTATCACTATTTCTAATCTTATTTAATTATGTAATTTTAATTAATTTTAATTTGAATTTGAATTTTTATTTTTAATAATAGATAAATGATCATAAGAAACATTTATTTTTTTACATGCTATTCTTGAGAGTTGCACCATTATTACCAAATTGGTTTATCAACCTTACATCTCCACATTTAGGCATTGAACCAAAATTATTCTTTTGGTCAACTTTAATTGGTAATTAAATTGTATTCTCATATGTATTTATTTATTTATTTATTTATTTCTTATATATGTATATAGGAACAGCTCCACTTTCATTCATTCATGCAAGAACAGGAGAAACGATTCATTTATTGACCGAAACGGGAGGAGAATTTACATTATTCACTTTTCAAAACATTTTAACCATAGGATTAATTGTTATTGTCATACTTACTCCTATAATATTTAGAAATTCATTTGATCAAATAATGAAAAGTGTAAAAAAAAAAGTAAAAATTGATGATGATTTATTATTTTTAAATGTAATAGAAGAAGAAAGAGGAGTACATGAACAAGAAGTAGGTGAAGCTTACCAATCATATTATTATTGGAAAAAGTATAATAATAATAATAATAATAATAATAATAATAATAATAGCAGTAATAGAAAAGGAATAAATGATTACAAACTGAATTTAATTATTTCTAATTCATAAATACATAATTTCATTTTAAATCTATATAATTTTAATTATTAATACATATATTAGAAATAAAATTAGAAGTAAATTAGAAATATTAAAGCTCTAATTTAGTATGTTCAAAATTTCTCAATTTTTCACTTTGCTAATTATGTGTATAATGACTATATTACTCTGTTGGTTACTTCAACAGTAATGGTTGGCAGTGCAGTCCACTTAATAAAGATGTTTTCTTTTTTTTTAATAGTTTTTTATTACTGAATTTTCTTTTTGTATACATATCAAGGTCACGTTAAAGTGCAATAAGAAATAAAGTCATGTCATATTGACCATCATATAAAAAAATATCTTTAATGAATGTCTACATTTGTGTTGATATACATCTCATTTATTTTAATAGTCAATTTGTAAAAATTTCAATATCAAATATTTTATTATAATATACCTTTATTTTGTTTTATGTTAAATTTTATCCAACCTTGACCCTTACAATCAATTATTAAAAGATTCAAAAAAAAGGCAAAAATCTAGAGTCAATAATAAATGTTTGTAAAGTGATATTAAAAATTACATTGACATGATTTTACTTTAATTAATAATTCTCAATAACTAGTACTGGAATTTTAGGCATAATTTATAGTCACTTCATAAAAAAACTTTTCTTTTTATTTCTTTTTTCATTTAACTACAGCAAAATTATTCTATTAAATTTCAATAGACATGGGAAGAAGAGAGTAATTTCTATAAGCTAAAAATTTATATTATATAGTATACTTTTGATATTATTGATTTCGGCGCAGGAGTGATCGGTTTGCTATAAATAATTATAAGTTACGCAGTACATTTGTAATTATTTAAGAAGCTTTCCAAAAAATAATCTTTGCCATATTGCCTAAGTGTCAATATTCAAAGAACAACGATTCATTATTACGAAGTAAAAGGTTACAAAATTTTTAATTCGAAAGTCAAAAAAGATTTGTTTTAAATTAAAGATATGTTTAATGAGAGTTATCAACTTTGTCAATAGGTTGAAAGAAGAAAAAATAGAATGTCGCAAAATTACGCAACAACTGGATGATTCTTTTTAACCACCAAATCTTCTATACCATTTACTTTCTCAACACGTATTTTTGCCACCTCAAAGTTTCTAATAGATCCCTGTTTTCGATAATGTTTTCCCAAAAAATTTACAATAAATAAAAATTTAGATAATACAAACAATAAAACAATAAAATAGAATGAATATAATAAATATAAATATAAATATACCTCAATCAAACACATGGCTAATGCGTTAAGTATCTTTTTCTGTATCAACCGATTAAGTGGTCGTGCACCTTGTAATTTTATCAAAGAAAGAAAAATTTAGGAAAACTAAAAAATTTTTTATATTAAAATAAAATAATGTAAATAATATAAAATAATAATAACACATACCATAAACTGGATCATAACCTTTATCAGATAACCAATCTTTAACACGATCATCAATACCAATCGTAATATTCTTTTCCTTCAGACGTGATTGTACTTCGTTTAATCTCACATCAACTATACCTCTTAATGCTTTACGTGATAGTCTATTGAACACGACCTATATGATAAAATCGGATTATAAATGGATGGACATTTAAAGATATTTGAACATAAAATAAAATGATTTACCATCTCGTCAATCCTGTTAATAAATTCGGGAGGAAAATGTCTCTTGACTACATCAATTACTGCATTTCTTGTTAAATCACTAACTTGACCATCGTCAACTACCCTCGAAATTGTATCTGATGCCGTGGCTAAAATATCAGCTCCTAAATTACTTGTCATTATTATTATGGTGTTTCGAAAGTCGATCTATTTAAAAAGATAAAAATACAATTAATAAAATTAATTTTTCGCACTAAGAAAAAAAAAATTGTTTACCTTTCGGCCTTGTGAATCGGTGACAAATCCATCATCCAATATTTGTAATAACAAATGCGAAACCTCTGTTAAATATAAGAAATTTTTGTTAAAAATAAGATGGAATAAAATATCTTAAATGAAATAAAATGTGTAATAAAATTCAATAAATTTAAATAAAATATTAAAATTTGTCAAATAACCTCTATGAGCTTTTTCCATTTCATCTAATAACACAACGGAAAATGGTTTTCTCCGTACTGCTTCGGTCAATTCTCCACCTTCCTCATATCCAATATAACCTGGTGGAGCTCCCACTAATCTTGAAACTGAAAATCTGTAATTAAATATAAATAAATAGAATGTAAAATATTAAATTTTATTAGAATATTTGAAGACTAGAAAATGATGAAGAGAATTTACCTTTCCATATATTCACTCATATCAACTCTTATGATAGAATTCTCTGTATCAAATAAAAATTCCGCAATGGCTTTACATAGTTCAGTTTTTCCAACCCCTGAAGTTATTAAGAAATATATATATATATTTAAATTAAATATCTATATAATAGAAATCAATATCTTGCGTCTATACCTGTAGGTCCCAAAAACATGAAACTAGCAATAGGTCTAGATGGACTTTGTAATCCAGCTCTACTTAATCTTACTGCTTCTGAAACTATTTTAATTGCTTCATTTTGTCCTACAACTCGTTCCGATAACTTTTCTTCCATATGTAATAATCGATCTCGTTCACTTTTTAATAAATTATTCATGGGGATTCCTGTCATTCTTGATATCACCGCTCCGATATCATCTGCGGTAACTCGTTCATGAATTAATGTTTCGGTACCTTCTCCTTCATCTTTCTCTTGTGGTAACTGTTTTTCTAATTCCGGCATTACTCCATATCTTATTTCTCCCGCTTTACTATAATCTCCCGCTCGTTGTGCAGCTTCCAATTCTATTCTAACTTGCTCCAATTTTGATTTAATATTTTTAATTTCTTCTAATTCCGCTCGTTCTTTTTGCCAAATAACATTAAGTTCATCTAATTCTTTTTGCTTTTCCTCTATTTCTTTTTGTAATTTTTCTCTTCGTTCCTTTGATACTATATCTGTTTCTTTCCTTAATGATTCCAATTCAATCTTCATAGTAATTATTTGTCTATCTAATTTTTCTATCGGCTCAGGTTTACTTTCTTGTTGTAATCGTAATTTTGAACAAGCTTCATCTATCAAATCGATTGCTTTATCTGGTAAAAATCTATCAGTAATATATCGATGTGAATAAGTAGCTGCTGCTACTACTGCTGAATCTGAAATTCTTACTCCATGATGTACTTCATATCTTTCTTTTAATCCTCGTAAAATTGATATAGTATCTTCTACATTAGGTTCTTCTACCATAACTGATTGAAATCTTCTAGCCAATGCAGGATCTTTTTCAATATGTTTTCGATATTCATCAATTGTTGTAGCTCCACAACATCTTAAAACTCCCCTAGCTAGAGCAGGTTTAAGTAAATTTCCGGCATCTATTGATCCTTCACTTTTTCCCAATCCAAGTAAATTATGAAGTTCATCAATAAATAAAATAAGTTTTCCTTCTGAATCTTGAACTTCTTGTAAAATAGCTTTAAGTCGATCTTCAAATTCACCTCGAAATTTTGATCCTGCAATTATTGAACCTAAATCTAATGCTATTACTTTTTTATCTTTAACACTCTCGGGAACTTCTCCATTAACAATTCTTTGAGCTAATCCTTCCACTATAGCAGTTTTCCCTACTCCGGCTTCTCCTATTAACACTGGATTATTCTTAGTTCTTCGGGATAACCTATCACAAATAACCAACCGATTATTCGCCTATTTACCTTTAATAATATCTTAAAGGATTTGATGATGACGATATACTTACACTTAATAATTTAATTTTATAAAATATAAATTAAAAATATAATGATTGATTAATAAATTTTATAAATATATAAATTATAAATAATTCATTGAAAAAAAAAAACTCACCTTGGATAGTCCGTCTAATCTCATTTTCACGTCCAATTACTGGATCTAACTTCCCTTCCATGGCTAAATTGGTTAAATCGTAACCAAATTCTTCTAGAGCTGATCCGCCTTTTTGTGAAGTTGGTTTTCCTCCTACTATATTTCCATTAAAACATCTCTTTACTATTATTATACCGGGGAATCCTTTTACTCCTTTTCTAACATTATTAAATTTATTAAATTTAATTGATCCAATTGGAACAGTTTTTGTTGAATTTTTTATTAAAAATAAATTATTATTACTACTAATACTTGAATAATAATTTATTGTTGAATTAAATTTCACGAAACTTTTTTTGGGATCAATATTTTGATAATTTGATGCTTTTGAAAAAGTAGAAGAGAATGGAAATTTAGAAAACCGATTAAACATTTTATTATGAATTCGACAATTTTGAATATTAAAATTAAATTTTTTTTTTTTTCACGGAAAAAGGTTTTTTTATTGGTTACGTTATAAACGAAAATCATTTATGAATAAATCAAACATAAAATTTTCGCACGGGTTGAAAAATAAAAATTTCCAGTTAAAATTTATTTAATAAAAAAATTTTTAAATAGAAATCCGGGTGGCCGGGTACATCAGTTCAACCTATGTTATGTGAACCAAATATATAAGTTTGTGTCGCCTAATGATACACGATTCGAGAGAAACTAGTTATTTGCGGTTCTCACTTTTTTGGTAGCTAGAGACTCGTCAACATCAACCCATCATCAAATAAATTTCGTTTAACGAGGTTGAGTGCTTTCCTCGTGAAAATCTTCATAATGTTTATTTATCCTATGGTATCCACTCATAATTACATGTTCTAAAAAATTATATGCGATACATTAGTTTTAACAAATACAGCAAATTAAAAAAAACTCCAACCTTCGCGATTTAGAGTTCTGATTTCATAAAATGTTGTTGAGCGATTAGTTTGGCTACTTTAATCGAGCCGGCTAGGTTTCTTTTACGAGCTTGTTTTATATTTCGTCCCATTTTCAGAACCTGAAATGCAATATCGATCGATTAACCAATGCAAAAAATCGTTTTTTTAATTTATAAAGTATACGAGAAGTAAAAAGTAGAATAGCTGGAATAGTTATGTCTACAGAAGAACAAGGACGTACCCTGTCATTCAAGCATGCAACTCGTGAAGACAAATAGGATACATCCATATTTAAAGGATACAACCTACACTTCACTAAAACATAAGACATGAAAATCCCTCTATAGAAATAGGTTAACATTATATTTTTTCCTATGTCTACAAGCAAGAGCACATCTTACTCAAGCACACAACCTGCTCTATTAATAAGAACGCATCTTGCTAACAAGCACGCAACCTGCATAGGGATCAGTCCTCAAGCTATTTTTATAGTTCAAACAAATAACATTACCATTTCTGATTCTCTGCAAATATTTTTTTTTTTAAATTCCGACTTCTATCTTGAATGAGGAATGCACACGACTTTTTTCAACAATGTTATAGACATCTCGTAGATGATTTGAGAACTTATCTAGGGCGGGCTATTCTATGTAGGGACGGTTCCAGATGTCTGTCATAATGCGAAAGTGAAGGCATAAGCAAGAAGTATCTAAATAATAAATCGTATATTTCAAATATTTAACATAATACCAGGTAGATAAGTGTCAGCTGTAATTTTTTCGAAAACTGGAATTGATTCATTAACACATGGTTCACAGATCTCATTCGTTGCAGTGGCTTCTGAATCATTTTTCTTCAGTGGTATCTGTGAATCGTTTCTTTTCGGTAGTATCTGAATCGCTTTTTTCAACAGTATCTGAATCATTTTTTTCGGTGGTTTCTAAATCAGTACCTTCCTAAAAGTTGCCCGATTGTTTTAAATCGAGTTCGTGAGGAGGTACTTTTAACTTTTTGACCTCTGTAATAAATTTTACGAGTCTTGTAGCTGGGTCCAGTACAAATCCAACACTACGAAACTCTTATTTTGTCAATTCAAGAAAGTCAAGGCCGTTATTTTTTCTTTACGAATAATCGTAAAGTCGTCATCAACTAACTTTAGATCCTTCTTCCGTAAATGCTCAATGAGTCCACAGGTATTATACTTTTTTCAACGAGTGGATGAATACTTCTTTGTTAGGTAATGTTCCTGTAGGTAAAGTTGTCTCTAAAGACATAATCACTTTATATGAGGTTACTACAAGATAAAGAGTTCAAGAAACGGGACTTTTTTAAACTGGTTAAAGAACTCTTAATCTATGATCTGTGTAACAACCGGATGAAATTTGGTAGGCAAATAGGCAAAAAATTTGGTTTATATTATTTTAGGTAGCCTATATTTTTTTTTTCAGTTTTGGTTGCTGAATTATGGCATCATCTTTAGTAAGAGACTCCTACTATGAGATATATTATTAGGAAACATAAAAATGACTGATGTAGCAGTATTATATTAGGAATTGTTTTTGAAAAGGAAATTATTTATGTACACCAATTCTTTATATACATATACACCAATTCTTTATATACAATAAAAAAATCATAACCTGTCTTTCATTATTATTTAAAAATCTATCTTGGTGGTGCCGATCCTCAAATCATTTTTATCTTTTCTATAATTTCCATCCGACGAAAAAGTTGTTCCTCCCACAATAATATCATCATTATAATAATCTTCGGTCATCACTTCATCATCTTTATTATAACCTTTCGATATCAATGTTAATAATGAAATTGAAATAAGATATAATGAACAAAGTGTAGGAAAAGCCCACATGCATATTAGATTAGCCAATCGAATATTACAAGCGGAAAGAACAACTGTTGATGAATAATCGTAATCATGTGGACAAGTGAAAGGTATATCGCCCATTTCGTCAAATGTAAGATAAGTATAGAGAACTTTTTTTCATCATCATCATTATTATTATTATTAGGGAATATTATTTAAAAGGTTAAAGAATGTTAAGTTGATTTATAAGTTGATCTTGGTTTACAAGAGATTTAAAAAAGTGAAAATTTACCTGGAACCGCTATCCATAAAAATGGGCCGGAATATCTATGCATTTAATTATGTTATATTTTAATATATTATAGTTTGAAATTTATTATTACAAGTAAAATAATATGATATTATGTACATTAAAATTTCTTTGAAAAATTGTTTTACTCTCTCGTGTTTTTTTGCATCATATTCATATAACTTGTGGAATACATAATAAGAAATTGTTATTGCTGTTGAGAGAGATATATATATAAGATCGTAAATACAGTTTTAAAAAAGAATAAAAACAAAAAATAAAAAAAAGGAGAAATTTACCTATTAAGAAAAGTGATGTTGATAAATATCTGTGTGAATGCATCGAAATATTTAATTAATATTAATTAATTATTCACAAAAAAAAAAAAAAAAATACGTTCGTGTCGTGGTGAAATAATTACAATATCTCGATCATCCATTTTAACTTTAGTTCACCTTTCGTTGCAAGAAATCCCACAATTTTTAAAATTTCTAATTGAAATCATGAAAATCATTATAATAATAATTAATACATTTTTTTTATATTTTTGACATCTTTTTGCATTTTCTATACATACCAAATAATGGACAAAAAAATATCAACAAAATTATAGGATATCCGAATAACGCGGTTAGAAAACATAAAGGAAAAAACGAAATATAAGTCATGTTATAGGCTAAATGCACCAATGAAGGAAATATAAACAGCATATAACGACGAAAAATAAAAATATTCGTGGCGATTTTTTTTTTTTCATAATTCTTACAGAAAATTTCTTGTCTCAAAAGAATGTAGATCTTTTTAAATTATAGGGTGGGCATTCCTGCTATTCCTCGGAAGAAGTTTGTGGTTTTGTGTGTTCAATTTGAAACAAAAATTTCTTTTTAATCAGGATTACGTTCTTTAAGTTTCTTGATGATATCTCGAAAAAACGCAAATGAAGTATAACCATTGGTAAATTACATAAATTACTTCGCTTCACAGGTCTTTCGTTAAAAAATTTTAACCAGAGTTGGCAAGAATAATTGAGGCAATTGAGGCTTGGACTTAATTTAGAAATAGGCTTAGATGAGATAAATATTTATAAGATAATTATCACAATTCAATCCATGTGAATTTACTCCGGATATATTTTTCTCTCTTAAATCAAATATGTAAATATGAAAATATAATGTATTTAAATATTTAAATATCTGTTGGGGAGAAAGATTTTTATTTTTTTTAAAAACCAAAAATTTTTACGCAAGAAAATTTACAATAAATATAAATTGAGTGATGATTGATCAATAAATAGAATAGAAGGCGAAGAATTAGATTTATAAGATAGAGCAATTAGTTGGTTCACATAGAATAAATCTAGAAGAACGCAATAATTGGTTAAAGATTGTTTCGGAGAAAGAAGAAAAAATTCAGAGATTGTATTTATAATTTTTTGCTTAATTAAAGCAAGAGATTGTTCACTCTCGAAAATTAAGTTAGCTTTAATTTTAATATTATCAAAAATGATGTCATTACGTTAATAATATGATTTGCATGAATCATTATACTTTGAATACTATTGTTTTTCGCATCATTTTGTTTATTATTTTTCAAGAGAAAGAAAAGGTTTTATAACATTTACTATGTTTTTAGGAGATTAAACCATTAATATTTTGATTTCACTTACATTAAGTCTTCAATATTTTGCATTTTCGTGAGCATGCTCGATTATTTTTCTCTATTAATAATGGCACTTTAATTTTTTACAGGATATTCCATATTTTTATTTTTTTTTATTTTTTTTCGCATAAAAAAGAATAAAGAAATAAATTTATTGTTTACATGTTGGGTGATAGATAATACAAAAATCAACATAAATAATGTTTCTATTTTTCGTAAATAGTAACAAAAAAAAATTATATAAAAATACACTAATTTTACTAAAATTAAACGAGACATTTAACAATTGAGACAATTTTGAAATGTCAAAAATTATAAAAAGCATCGAACATAAAATACATATCATCTAATATATCCGCTGCACTTTGATTTCCATTATTTTTAGACTTGGACAACCAATAAACCGCTTTTATAATGTCTTTTGACGTTCCTATTCCTTCTTTATAACATCTTCCAACTTGAAATTGTCCTGTCGCATTACCATTCTCTGCTGATTTAAGATACCATTCAAATGCTTTATTGGCATCTTTTTTTGTTCCTTCCCCATATAAATATCCTGCCCCAACATTTTGTTGAGCTTTATCATGATTTTCTTTAGCTGCCTCCATATACCAATAAAATGCGGTTTCATCATTTTTTTCTACTCCAAATCCTCTTTCATAACAAATACCTAGGCAACGTTTAGCTATAATATTTCCTCCTTCAACTGATTTCTGATACCATTCAATACCTTTTTCCGAATTTTGTTTTGTTCCTATTCCTTCTATAAAATCATATGCTACATTATTTTGTCCACAACAATTTCCTCTCTCAGCTGATTTTAAATCAAACTTAAATCCCAAAGAATTATTCTTTTTAATTCCACTACTCTCAAAATAACATAATCCAACATTAGTTAATGCTTTACTTGAACCTTCTTCTGCTGCTTTTAAGAATAACAAAAATGCTTTCCTGAGATCTTTTTGAATTCCAAGACCATCATAATACAAATATCCAAGTGAAAGTAATCCTATCGCTTGATTGTTTATTTTAAAAAAATCAATTTGTGACAATGAATCTGATTTGGAAACATCATTAACTTTAAAATCCACCTTTTGATTAGTTGCTTGAAAATATGTACTAAATGCCATTTGATAATCAATAACAGTTCCAATTCCATAATGATGAAAAAATCCTATTATAAATGAAAGATAAGGCTTTTTTTGATGATGTTTAATTAATTGATAAATTATTTTAATAGGTTTTTTCTTATGGTTTTTAATAAATCTTTCAACTAAAAACGCTATGTTATCTACATGTTGTCTATGAAATTGGTTGATATAATAAAGCAATAATTTTTCTAGAAAAATTTCTTCTTCTTCTTCTTCTTGAGAAGTAATGTTCGTATTGGTATTTTTAAGTGACATATTAAGTAAGTAATTTATTTTTTTTTTTTTTGTGATGCGATTAACAGAAACAATTTTTATAGAACTCAGCAGATCATCTGATAGTCAGCGGACATGTCCCCGATCGACATGACAGACTTAATTTTATTAACTGACTTTTTGATGAGTATTAACATTTATATTTTGATATTGAAAAGAATCTTGTAAAAATGTATAATTTAAAGTTCAAAGAAGGTTTCTTTAAAATTAAAGTTATAGTTAATATCGAATATCGACTTAGCTAATACTTGACATATAGTAACACGAAATTTTTAATATGAAATTCTTGTCATTTTTCATTCCGCCGTCCTCGGAGAAATTTGGCTTAGTTTCTCAAATCATGTGAATTAATATTATCACTTTTATATATATATATATCAGATATATATATATAGATATGGAGTGTAATAAAAATTCTAGGATAGAAAAAATTGGTAAAAAAAAAAAATATTGATTTATTTTTATTCTTCAACAATGGAAGAAGGAAATAATGGAAATAATGGAAATAATCAAATTTCTAATCCCATGACATTGACTCAGCAAAGGTCAACTAGGCCAAGGTTCCAATTCACGCCACAACACAAGGAACTATTAGAAAGTGTTTATCAGACGTCCGCTTATCCTGATAAAACAAGCAAGCAACAGATTGCTGCTCTAATTGGGGCAACTGAAATCCAAGTAAATGAGTGGTTCCAACGAAGGAGGAAGAAAGATCCTGCTATTTCAACTAAAATGGCTGCTAATATTTCAAACACTGGCAGTCATACTAGTCAATTTAACGCCATGCCAATAATAAGTAACAATGCTTTTACCAACCTGTTTAATAGTGGCAATGCCACTCCAACTCAAAATATTTCTACTGCTCCGTCGGTTACTACCCCTCAAGTCCAGTTTACATCGTCGGCGATTACGTCACCCTTTCTTCCTTATAGTGGAAGTGTAAATCCTCCAATACCAAATCACGAAGTATATGTATATATCGGGGACAGTCAAGTAAATCATAATCAAGTAGTCGCTTCTAATTAAAATAATTTATTTTATTTCTACAACTCACATTTATTTCTTTTTCTTTCAAAGGGCGCTACCACAAATTCTGACAATAAATCAGAGAAACGTGACGAAAAAAATATGAGCACTGATACATCTAGACAATTAATAGAGAGTATAATGCCCTATTTAAAGTCAGATCTGGGCTTAATCTCATCTCAGGTTGTTTATGACTTTCTTCACAAAGTAAAAGATGCTCCTTTGTCTGCGCGTGGTTCAATTCTTCATATAATTGATCAAACCAAAGATAATGAAACATTAAAATGTTTAGTAAATGAAAGGGTTTGTTATCTTTTAAGGAATTGGATCAAAGAAGAAGCAAAATTACCCGACAGCGACTTATTATTGAAGCTACTCCAAACGGTTAATCATCTTCCCATTGACACCGAAGCTCTATCTTCAAGTGGTCTTGGAAGAGTTGTTAATAATACCCGAGTTAAAGATTCACAAATACCGGGTGTATCCGCATTAGCATCTTTACTCATAAATAAATGGATAGAAGAGAAAAGACGAATAGATGTTAAAGTTTCTACAGAAACTACTAGACCAGTAGCGACATCTAGTAGTAATATCAAGACAATTACAAAATCTTCAACGCCGATATCCTCAAAATCATCAAATCAATCATCTCAATCATCACAGATGACATCTAAATTAATCAAAGGAAGAGATAGTGGGTTTTCAAGGTTTGTGAAACCAGAACAGAAGACGAAAGAGATCGATCCCAAGATACGGGCGAGACCAGACGCAAGTCTTTTTGATGAAATTCTTGGTAATCTTTCCATGTCCAAACCGCCGACAAAGCAGGTAAATCAAGGCAATAAACAAAAAGATCAGACGAAACATGTGAAGAATAGAATAGAGAAGATTGAAAATTTAAACTTACAGATGACACAAACTAATAACGAAAAACAAGCTTCACATGAATCACAAGATAATGAAAGACAAAGTACTCAAAGTACCAACGTACAACTGAATACATCATCATTAGGTTCTACGGTTCAAAAATCATCATCTATGGAAATAATTGAAGATAGTCCAACTACAAATTTAAGGGATAATAATAGGAAAGAAATTAAATCAGTTTCATCTAAAAAAAGAAAGAGGGTTACATTTGCTACTGAACTTACTCAAGTTAGATTGTTTGAAGATGAGGAACCCGAAGAGTTAGAATTTTCCACAGCAAACACTCCTCATCAATTTGGTAATGCTCGAGATTTAGACAGAAATGAAGGATTGACAGCATTCAAGAGAGTACGTAGAGCACCTGCAATGAAATGGCATAACCCAGTTATAATAAATCTAGAAAAATTAAAAGTTAATAAACCGAAAGTGGAAAGTGAAGAGTCAAGAACACAGGAGGAACGAGAACGACAAATTTTAGAAGCAATTTACATCACATCAGATCAAGTACCGTTTTCACCTGCAGAACCTGATGAAAATTTACAGCCTCACATCAAGTCTCGTGAAATAGCTTTATATGAAGAATTTAATAATGAACATGAATATGATGATCGTACAGATAGTGACTTTTTTGAAAATGATTTAGATAGTTCACCTAGTGAAGAATTATTAAGAACATTACATCAGGTTTATGCCCAATGGCAAACTATTCATATTGGAAATCAACAGAATCCTAATAATAATCAAAATATTCCTACATTCCCTAATAACACGTTAGGAATGGAAATCCAGAATGTGGTACACAATCTGGTTGGGAGAATGCCTATAATTATGCCACAACACACTGCTCCTCCCCCACAACAACAACAACAACAACAACAACCTCCTATACCTTGGAATTTTGATATGAATCAACGTAATCCAATTATTAATTATCATCACCCACCTCCAACAATTGTTAATCAACCACCTCCACCCACAAATATAACAGCTGGACCACCCCCACCATTGCAATCATCTTTTCAACAATATCATAATGCACCACCTAACGTTCCACCCAATCAACAACCACCACCACCAAATTTCCAATATCCATATTTGTATCCTCCCCCCACAAATCAAAATCAACAACCTCCCCCAGCACAACAACAACCACCACCACAACAGCAACCACTGCAGCAATTGCCACCACAGCAATTGCCACCGCAACAATTGCCACCACAACAATTACCGCCACAACAATTACCGCCACAACAATTACCACCACAACAATTACCACCACAACAACAATTACCACCACAACAACAATTACCACCACCACAACAATTACCACCACCGCAACAACAACAACAATTACCTTCACTACAACAATTACCACCACAATCACAATCCCAAGTGCCTCCTCAACCTCTAATGACATTTACTAATGAATCAATTCGTCCATTTAATAATAATAATAATAATACTGATTCTGGTTCTGGACGTCTCGTGAGACCACCTCCATCATCAAATCGTGGTAGAGGTACTCGAAACCCTCTTCCATCATCAAATGGATCTGGACGACCCGCTAGTGGAAGAGGATCAGAATGTTGGTATTATGCATCAGGAAGGTGTAATTTAGGTGATGACTGTAAATTCTTACACGTTGATCATTAATTTTTTTTTAAAAAAAAAAAATTACAAAAATAGAAAAAAGTGAAATTGTACTGATAATACTTTAAAAAAAAAAAAAAATTTTCTTTTAATAATAATAATAAAAAAAAAAAGTTGTGTATATACATACATATAATACATATACTTTGCTTCTAGTTTATAAGTTTTATAAAATTACAATTGTTATTAGATTACTTGCAATATTGTATTTGTATCATTGTCAATAAATAATATTTATGCATAAAATGATTGTCTGTGTGCAAATGTAATATTTAAAGATCATAAAAATAAAATACTAATAATGGCGATTGTTCTTAAAAAAGTCTTGGTAATATTCTGATACCCGTAAAATTTTTTGTTATGAAAAACATTCCTTAGATTTTTTTTTTTTTTTTCAAGAAACTCTTTTGTATATTGCCATGCTAGTTACTCGTAACTTGGAAACCGAAATTGAACAACCTTCAAGTAAAAGTAAGATAGTACCAGCAACTGCTATAAAAGATACATTGGATACAAAAGAGTCGACTACAATCTTGAATGATTCAAAAATAACAAAAAAATATTCTAATAAATTATCGTCTTTTTGTCCAACTGCGGTAACTCCAAGTACTGTTGCAATGACTGTTACCACAAAAGCAACTTCTAATTCAGAAACCACTACTTTTATAAGGCAATCGGACAAGAAACCCAAGTATGGGTTTCTATCTTCAATATTAAACAATAATAACAATAGTTCACTTTCATTATCCTCACTTGCTGTTGGCTCAGATATGCCAAATAAAAAACAATCGAACCAAGTAGAATCAGGATCTAGATATAAATTATTCAAATCATGGAATAATTCTCAAGATTCAGAATATAAAACCATAGAAAAAGCTCTTGGAAGGTATCGAGATCTAGATATTTCTTTTTTATCTATGACATTTGTGTTTCATTCACCAAAACTTAATTTCAAGTATTACTCTCAAATATTTCAAAGATTTCAATCTAAAGATCGACATAAAGTTGACGTACTAAAAACAGCACTGATTCCATGGCTTAAAAAATATACTACTGGTAACAATATTTTATTCTTAGACATGAAAACGAAAAAAAAAAATTCTAATAGTGAAATCTTGGATCATATTTAGTAAATACTAGTGATAAAGGTTTACTTCGGGGTCGAATCATTTTATTAAAATGGTATTTATTTCTTTTCTTATACTTTTAAATTTAATTATATTTTTAATTATATTTTTAATTTTATTATATTTTTAATTATATTTAATTATATTATTTTTGTTTTAGGTGGAATGCATTAGTAGAAAATTTACCAAACGCTGCATTTACAGATCGTAGTCTCTATTTTGAATGCATATTATCTTTAATGACAAGGTTTAAATTTTTATTATCAATATTAGATTCATTGACTTTTTACTTTATTATTAATTAATCTTATTAATTATTATTTTTATTTTATTTTTTTTTTTTTATATCAATTATCAATTATAATCTACATCATTAAATTGTCATAGAAATGAATTTGGAGAATTTGGCAAGTAATAATTAATTAATAATTACTTATAGTAACGGATTATTTTATTAAGAAAATTTAAAAGTTTGAGATTATCTTTAAAATTTATAATAATAATTTTTTTTAATAATTTCCGATATTTAAAAAAAAAAAAAAATCTTTAAAATATTTTAGATCGCATTGGTTCCATTAATTCCATTAATCAAACCACGAGTACTGAGGCTTGCCCAGATGTTCCAATAGATACAATAATTCAATATCGTACAGCATTAATGTCAACACTTCATTATGCAATAGATAGGTTAAATCAAAAAGGGGTGTATTCGAATGTCATTTCTTTTTGTGCTAGAGTATTAGGTAAATGAAATATATAAATATATTGTTAGTTAATAGGACGGAGAATGTATTTATTATAAATTGAAATATTTATGTTTTATATTATATTTTTCTCTCTTTTTTTTTTTTTTTTGAAAAAGCCTCATGTTTTTTTAAAGTCCCCGGTGTTGGTTTTGCCTTATTACAAGCATTGCCCGTGAGCAAATCTCATATTAAAAGGATACTAAATGAGACATTAGGTGAAGATAATCCAAGGTATAAATCTTTTATTTTTCCTTTTTTATTTTTTATTAAAATTCATTTTCTCTCCTTTATTGTTAAACATTATGACAAAAAAATTTGTAACTTTATTAGCATGTATCAAATTTCAAAACAAAATGAACCAATTTCGCCATTATTCCCGGAACATTTAAATTTTCTTTGCTTTACAAATTTGAAAACATGGTGGAGGCAATTTGAGAATTCAAAACGAATTTGGGGCGAACCGCCAATCGAATTGAGTGGTAATTGGATTCGACGGTAGGTTTCAATTTCTAATTTCCATAATTTCATTTTTTGTTAGATTAAAACGACATTAAAAAAAATGATTAACGATATTATTAATTAATTTAAATATAGATGGCAAAGTGATGATAGTGAATTATTTTTTTCATTTTATAAACATTATCATATTGTTCTTAAATCATATCTTGCACCATATCTTGCGACATTGGAATCTAGTAAATCAATGACTCCTCCTCGTCATTATGTCACTGCACCAGGGTATATTCACCTTGCTTCATTTTTCCTACTTAAGATAGAATCACTAATTCATCGTAATATCCATACAATAACCACAGTAATTCAATATGAGCATTCGAAAAATGGTGATATTATTCATAACAATGTTACTCCTAACATGTCAGGAATTTCAAACGCAATGAATGCTGATACCGTGGCCGTTGAGATGGGTTCATCATATACCGGAACTAATAATAATAACAACAACAACAACAATAATAATAATAACAACAAGAATGTTAATAATAATAATAATAATAATAATAATGAAAATTCTAATATTTCTAATGGAAACACGAACATAAATGGATTGGTTAATAATGTAACTCCTATTGTTTTAAATCCAAATCCATATAATGAAAAGCCTAAAGCACTTGAAATGGCAGGAAGACGTTTCGTTGAGACTATGGTTTCTATCGTAGAAAATGGAGTTTTTCAAGAAATGTGTAATGTTTGGATAAAAACTGTCGTTAAAAAAACCAATTTGTATGACGTTGAGGGGGTATTTTGTAAGTCATCACGTATTATTATTATTATTATTATTATTTTTTCATTTCCTCTATATCAATATATAAAAATTTCTTTCTTGTGATTTTTCTTTTTAATAGGCTTGTTAGATTTTATTGATACTTTAATAATTGAATTGGATGCTAGGTAAATAAATAAATTTTCCTAAGTTTTGTTTTTTACTTAATTTTCTTAATTTTAGCATTTTCTTATATCTATTTTTTTATTTTGAATTTTTTATTTTGTGTGTGTATATTTTCATAATTAATCATGTGAATAAAAGGGATAATGTTATTGTATCATCTGAACCAATTACATCAAATTCAGCTAATACTTTTAATTCAACTAGTACAATCGATTTCTTTTTTTCACCTCCCAATCTCTCCAATATTCTTGATATTCAATTTTACATCTCATTGGTTAAATTTCTCCTTGATAAATCGGATCATACTATTACCATACTACGAACAATAAGTTTTGTTTATACTCATTTCTTCCTTCTAACTTCACAACCAATTTATTTAAAACAATTAGTTAGAAATATAATTTTGGATGAAGAGATGTTTGAAAGATTATTTTGTCATTGGTCTAAAAATGTAAGAACTTATTTTATGAGGTTATTGGTATGGCAAGTTGGTAGGATTAGTGGAGGAATTAGAATACACAATGAAAACAAAGATTTAAATGTTGGAGATAAAGATGAAGAGGAGATTTTGATTGAGTAAGCAATTTTATTTTTTTATTTTATTTTTTTTTTTTTGTATTTTGGTTTGTTTGATTATTCTTTATTCAAATATTTATATTATTTTATTTTTATTTATATTTATATTATTTTAATTTTATTTATATTTATATTATCTTATATTTAAAATTATTTATATTTATATTCCAAATATTATATTATAAATATTTAAATTATAAATATTTATTTAATAAATCATCTCAAATTTTATATAGCACTTTACTTATTTTACAAACTAGATTAGAAAACGTGAGACTTTGTTACGAATTTTTTAAAAATTATTCAGGAAATGTTGAAGAAGTTGAAAAAGCTATCAATAAAATTTCCGAATCAACAACTAATGAAATTAATGTTGGAGGAAATGGAGATAATAATAGTTCATCCGTTACTTCAATATCATCTATTTCAGAAACCACCAAAAAGCAAAAGAAAATTTCTATGAAGAGATTAATAGCGTTACAGTCATCTCCTTCATCTTCATCTGGAAAGGAAATGTCAACTGCGGCAGTTTTGTTTCGTTGGATATTTTCTAATAGATCATCATGCAAACAACCACATTTAGAATCAAACAATATCAATCCTTCACCTGCAATAAATCAACCAGCCATTCCGATTCGAACAACAAGTAAACAACAATTGGCTTCATTAGTTTGGCAATATTCATCTAATAGACATATTTATGCTGGAAAAGCGATTTCAGAATATGACGCTGTTATTCAAGAATATGGAGAATGGTGTTCACAAGCAAATGTGGATAATAACATTGGTAGTAGTAATTCTTTAATTAATTCGACTGTGCCGAGATTTCCGAGTTTAAATGTTGAATATCCTAAATATTTTGGGAATTCATTTACGTGAACTATTTATTTTTGTTGTTAATTAATACAAAAAAAAAAAAAAAAAAAAAAAAAAAACTTTTTTTAATTTATTTGTTAGAAAATTTTTTTTTGTAAGAAATATTTTAATTCATCCCGTACCATATTAAATTTATTAATAGAGATTTTTTTTTAATAAAAATTTTGAATAAAAAAAAAAAAAAAAGTAATATATTTGTGAAATGTTAGAATGGAAATTCTTAAATTACACATATAAAAAAAAAGTAATGGGAAATAATAGAACTTCTGTATTTACTATTTACATTACCTTCTTTAGTTTATATGACTTCTCAACTTCTCAATTTTCCTTTTTTTCTCTACGCTTTCAAAATAGATAGGATTTTTTTTTTTTAGAGATAATTGATTTCTTAGAAAGGCAATGAGAAAATAATGAATTAACAAAAAGTTCCATGTTAATTTAAGATTTAATAAAGTTTGTATTCTTTTCTTTGTTTATTTTTTCATCTATCTTGGCGTGAGTTAAAATATCTGAAATTAAATCTTTTAACCATAATTTATTGAAAAAAAAAAAAAAAATAAATGATATTTTAAAAGCATTTATATTACTTGATTAACATTTATTCGTAAAATATTTAAAAAAAAAAATGCAAGAGACTAAGAAACGCGTGTATTATAATAATTAAAATAAAATTTTTAATGAATTAGGAAATTTACTGCTATATTAATATTAACTTTATTAATTTTGAACTCTCGGAGAACTCTAATATTGTTTTTGATTTCCCTTTAATTTTATTATTTTAAAGTTGTTTTTAGTCATTTATAATAAAAAATAATATATCACATGAAAACAAAGTATAATAATAAGTTTATTAAAAACTAATTATAATTTAATTCTGGTGCACTTAATATCTTTGAAGATATAAAAAATCATAAGAGTTCCTGCAAAGGTTATTAGCTATACCAATTATAAATTTATATTGTCATTAGATTACTAAAAATTCTTTTTAATTATTGTATTCAAATTAATTAAATTGATTGGTTTTTTTAAATTTAAAATCAAGTTATGCATTTTCAATCTAATGCAATATTAGAAATTCTACAATTCATCATGTTTTTTCTTTTCATCAGTTTTTTCTTCACTCTTTTTCTCTTCCTCTTCTTCCTCACTCTTTTCTATCTTTATCTTCTCTTCTTTCTTTTCTTCATCTCTTTTCTCTACCTCTTCTTCCTCCTCGCTCTTTTCCTCTTCTTCCTCACTCTTTTCCTCTTCTTTCTTTTCTTCATCATCTCTTTTCTCTACCTCTTCTTCCTCACTCTTTTCCTCTTCTTTCTTTTCTTCATCTCTTTTCTCTACCTCTTCTTCCTCCTCCTCACTCTTTTCCTCTTCTTCCTCACTCTTTTCCTCTTCTTTCTTTTCTTCATCTCTTTTCTCTACCTCTTCTTCCTCCTCACTCTTTTCAATCTTTAACTCTTCTTTCTTTTCTTCATCTCTCTTTTGAACATCAATATCAATATCAAATTCATATGGATAATAATTCTTTCCTTTACCCTTAATTACTTCTTTCAAAAAATTTTCAATTCTTTCTTCTTCATAAGGTCCCAGATACGGTTTATAAACTTTACGATTTGGATTTAATGCCACTAAATTAGGAAATACATCTGCTAATTTAAGCAAATTAATTAATTTCTTTGATTCCTCTTTCAATGCATTGAACCACATAAATCTAAGGTTAATTGTATCATCTATGTGTTGTTTGTGAATACTTTCTTTAACTTTTTTAAGAATTGAAAGATTATATTCATGTTCAGTTATAGATTCATTGAATTCTGGCTCTAATACTAAGAAAGTGAAAAAACAAATTCCGGTAGGTTTGGAAAGACATTCAGATTCAAGTTGGGATTGATTATGAATTTCAATTATTTCTGGGTTGACTGAAAACATAAAATAATTATTGTTAGTGGTATATTATATAATCTCATATATAGTAATGATAATATGTAGTAATAATAATATGTAGTAATGATAATAATAACAACAACAATAATATAACACATACATGGTTCGGGTTTTATAGGTTCTCGTTTTTCAGAATTTTTATCAGGTAAAGCATATTTATCCAAGAATTCAAATAATTTCTGGTGAATTAATTTACCTAAATAATTATTAAGATAAAAAAAAATATGTTTTATTTTTATTATTATCAACAAAAAAAAATAAAATATGTTTGCAAGTAAAAAACAAACCTTCATACTCAATAATTTCATTGGTTTCTTTAGTTATAACTATCAAAGTTGGAAATTTTTTTATATTAAATTTATCAATAATATTTTTCTCACGCTTTCTTACTTCCCCCAATGATAATCTCTTTTTAAAATCAATTGATAATGCTTTGTACAAGGGAGTTGTTTTATCCTTGCTGGTAAAGAGTATTGCTTTTGATATCGTCTTATTCTTTTTTTTTAAAAAAAAAAAAAAAAAATACAATTAAGAAATTAAATTTTAAATTAATAAAATTAAATTAATTAAATATTTTTTTTTTTTTTAGAAATTTACTTTTTTATTCAAAAATTCTTCGATCGTCAATGTTTTATCCGTTGTATATTTTTCGGATATAAGTTGCACAAAGGAAGGTATCTCGGGAATAGCGAAATCAACAATTCCTTTTGCAGTTCGTGGTCCATTATAATCTGAAGTAAAATAAAGTTATAAGTTATTCTAGAATAATTATATAAAAAATAAAAAATAAAAATAAAATATAATTTGAATTCTTTAAATTACCTTTAGCTGACTTGTAGACTTTTCCTGGCTCTTGACTTACTGGGCTTAATTTACTTGGGAAAAGTTTGATTGTCGGGAAACCTTTTTTTAAAAAAAAATTTTTTTATAATAAAAAAATAAAATATTAATTGAATTATTATTAAATGCAACAAATTGATACCTTTGATTTGGTACGCGTTGCATACATTTTTATTCATTTGATCATTACAGTCCACGGCTCCTACTTTCACCAGACCTTTAAGATTCTCAGCGGCTTTTTTGTATTCCGGCGCTAAACTATATATTTATATTTATTATATAGGTTATCGATTTTTTTATTTTATTTATTAAAAATTATATAAATTCAATCGATTCGATTAACGTACGTTTTACAATGCCCACACCAAGGCGCGAAAAATTCTACGACGACAATATGCTAAAATAAATAAAATAAAAATTTATTTGATTAAAGTGATTGATACTTTGTGATTACTAAAATAAATTAATTAAATTTAATTAATCAAAATATTAAAATATCTAGAATTACTTCTGTCGTCAAAACTTCTTTCAACCAATTATCTTCGTTAAGAACTATTACGGGTCCATTTTTATCATAAAACGCCAAAACATTTGGCACCATTATTAATAACAAACATAGAGAAATAATTGAATTGAACAAATGCAACATTAAATTTTGCATTTTTTTATTATTTATAATTAATAAGATACTCTAATGTGATTTCGATACGTTTTAAATTCAAAAATATCAAAATTTCAGGAAATCTTCTATTTAAATATAAATTTCTGAAATTATGTGTCATTATGGTATTGGATAATTTAACACCGTGCCTTATATGGACGTGCTGCAAAAAAACCAAAGTGAACTTGTGACGTCACAGTCATCGGCTCGATTTTATATATTGTGATTTGCTTTATATCACTTTTACTGGTACTTTGTACGTAACTGAATATTTTGACATGCCTGCTAGGAGAATTTGAATTTTCTTAAGGAAAAAGTGTTCGTTTTGGATCATCATTGATATCAAAATCCGGTAACTCGCTTTCATCATTATTTTCTTTGAAATCGAAATGAATTTCCTCAATCTTCTTTTTAAATTATTTCCTTACTTTCAATCAAGGTCGTTTTTTAGTCTCTTTAACTTCAACTTGAGCAATCAATTGACTATTTTGCTGCTGTAATCGTTCTAATTGGGTTTTTAACTCGTTGATTTCTTTAATTAATTCTTGCGGAGTTGATGCTTTCAACTGCTTATTTTCTTCTTCTTGACAGCTAATCTTTTCTTCTAAACTTTTTATCTTATCTAAAAACTCTTGCTTCTGTCTTTTTACTTCACTCCTCTGATTTCTCCATAAAATCCTCGTGGGCTTCCCTCTCCTCGTGAATGGTTCATTCGGCTTTATTTAATTGTTCTCTTAGACCATTTATTTGTCGTTTGTAAAAAGCAGACATACTCTCCCTTGGATTTGGTAAATTAGGGAGTTCTTTTTTGTCCCCCTCTTCTTTACAATTGCAAGTATACCTAGTCTTTAATCTTCCACAACTAAATTTAGGTAACTTATCGTTTCAAACTTCTCTTTACAACTTTCACAAGCCTTATCACTTTCAATCATTTGTTCTAATTTGGCACATTGCGTTTTTTAAATCAGAGCAAAAAACGCAAGTAGAATTAATGCTATGCCATTCTTCTAACTCAAAAACAGTGTAAAGTAGTTCTCTCATAATAGTAAAGTAAATTAATTAACTTTTACTTCTATTCGAGCAGTAAATTATTGGGCTTGATGTTTTTTGTTTTCTACCAATTGAAGTTTTTGGAATTTTGGTTTTAATTCTTGAACCTAATTTTTGTAAAGTATTTTGTTTTTTAGGTAGAGCAGGTAAGGGTTTTCTTTTCAAATATAGCCATCTATTTAGTTCCTCTTCTCTTTCCTTTCTTTTTGCTAATATTTTTGATTTATCTTCCGATTCCTCTTGTAATTTTGTATTTTTTCCTATCTCTAAGCATTTTAGTAACATTAGTGATTGTGTTTTGATTTCATCATTCAAAAGCCCCTTTTGAAAGTCTTTCCATTTTTCAGCTAAGTCTAATGACACAGTACGATCTCTAACATCTTCATCCCACTTTTTAATAACTTTTATAACTACTTCACCTGGTTTGTCTTGATTCTGACTGATTAACTCTTTTAAATCTTCATTGTTTCAATAATCCCAATCACCTTTTTCTCGTCAACGATCCACATTACCTTCCTTTTGTTTCTCTTCCTTCTGGTAGGCGGTTAAATATTCGCCATATTCTGTTCCAAATTTTTAATTTGTTCTTTAAAAGGAGTTGAGTCAGCAACCTTTTTTTCTAAAATAACATTCGTTTCTTTTAGTTCTTCTTTTTCTTGATAAGTAAAACTGAAAGGCTCTTCATAATTAGTGCTTTCCTTAGCAAAACTTCTCACAATATTTTCGGGATGAATTCATTGCTAAAAATAACTTTTTCAATTTCAAATCCATTCTTTTCTAGATAACCATTTTTAGGTCAAGAAAATCTTCCCAAGATTCTTAAAGTTATTTCCATCGATCTCTGCGATGTTCGGTTTAATGTTTTAAAATCCCTAAAACTTGTCATGTACTTAGTTGACCTGTCATTAGTTCCTATCTTCACCTCCCATGAAAAAAAAATAATTGCTTTTTCCTCACATATCTAATAATGATTTGCATGACCGCGGATTGGCTACGTATTTTATTTTTTGTATCAATAAAGGATTTTACATATTTATTTTTTGTAGCTCATAATTGTATGATCGAAAATTTTTTGGCATTTTTATGTGATTTTGACGACCCAAAGTTGTTGAAATTTTGCTACTTTGTAGTTATATTTTAAATATATTATCGGATATATAGAAACTATTACCAAAACATACAATACGAGATTGATTCATCAAGACAGCAAATTTATGAGCTTGAAGTCGAGAAAGCTGAGTTTGAGACTAAAGAATGCCGAGCTTTTAAAACATGCTATAAGAGAGTGCCAAACGCGAAACTGGAGAATGTCAAACTTAAGGCCAGAATCGAAAAAAATAGGACAGATATCCCTAGATTCGCGAAATTGAAACAGGAATTCAAGCAGTCGCAAAACGATATTTCATCCAAACCCATCCACCCAAGCCTAAATCATTAGAAGAAATATAGATTGATGAATTCTTGGATTTAGAAGATACAGACGAGGCTTATAGAAGAATAGAAGAAGTCACAAATACTATTCTCCTTGCAAATATTCATAATTTAGAGCAAATACTTAACAACTTGCCTCCCAATCAATATGCAACTGATGAAGTGTCTCTTTCAATTACAATAGAGGGGATATCAAAAGATATTGATCGTATATTTTTCAAGGTTCCAAAGAGAGAAAAGAAAATACAAGAGCCGTAAAAAAATTGTTGACTTGGGTTCCCTCTATATTTGGTATATTAATTATAATTGTTATTATACTATTGGTATTTACTGATATTGATAATATTATTGTAAAAAATAAGGATCTATATCTTTCTTTCCTTATATACTATTGTTTCTATCCACTGTTTCATTATTAAAAACTATAACTTCCATTGTCACTGTATAACTGCTACCATTATTATTATTATTATTCCTTCATGTAATTTAATAATTGATAATAAATGTAATAAATGTATAATATAATATAAAAAATAAAATAAATAATATTCTATTTTGAAATAAAAAAATGTTCGCGAAACTAATTATAAAGGATATTTTTTAAAAAAAAAAATATGTTTCTTGATTAGTCGAGACTAATAATTACTAAATAAATGATAAAAAAAAAGAAAGGAATAAAAAATCCGTAACGAAACACACGAAAAGTTAAACAAGAAATTTGAACTAATCTTTTAAATGTTGTAGGACTTAAATAAAATATTTAATCTTAAATTAAATATAAAAAAAAAGTAAAAAAAGTTCGGTGAAATAAAAAAATAAATAACGAACGGCAAATAAAACTAATAAAAAAATATAAAATTTATTTTGAAACGAAGATAAAAAAAATACAGGAAACAATAAGAATCGACTAAATAAAACGTTAGGTATGAAAAAAATTTAAAATGCTTAAAATATATCAAAATAACTGTGCTAATAAAACTTTAATAAACGCTAAACGAAACGTTTGACGAAATAAAATTTAATAAACATATATATGTAAAAAAATTAATAACAAACGTTAATAGAACAATTCTTTTGAAACGTGAAAACGAAAATTAAATAAATAGAAAGGTTGATAGAAAAAAATATTCCAATATAACGAAATAATTGATGTTTCTTGAAATAATAAAATTAATAAAAATATAAACAATTCATATATAAAACGAAAAACGAATCGAAGGAAGCGGTTTACGTTAAAAGAAGATAAATAATAATAAAAAAAAAATAAATTAATAAATTAAATTAAATTATAAAACTAAGCCGTTCGATGTAATTTTTTTTAAAAAAATTAATGAACGTACAAAAAATTTTCTACTTTTCTTTTACTGAAGGTCTATAGGGGCGCCGTCCGATGGGGATTTCATCTTCAGAGTTTAGTTCAAATTTTTTCAAAAGTTGAATTTATAATATATGCGCGTTCCTTCACAATTTTTGCAAGCCGTTACGTTTCTTTTGAATGGAATTTTTCTTAAATGATCTTGTTCTTTACCACGATTTTTACAGAATATTTTATCTGATTCATAAGGGTCCTTAAAATTATTTTCGATGAGAACTTTCCTATCTATCTTTGCGTCTGGAGTTCCTTATTATTCTCTTCGAAATTAATATAACGTTCGTTTCTATTTTGGCGGACGTTTCAAGATTTTCGTATCGATTTTTTCTTGCAGATGGTAAATAAACATGAAAATGTTGATACAGATTGAAATTGCAAATTAATTTCAATTCTAAATCCAACACGATGAAGCTTTTATATCCTACCCACTTGTAATATAGAATCAATACTTTTTTTAAAAAAAATATATATTTTTGTCATTTTTCTATCTAAAATATTTTCTAATTTAATGTTTATTGCTGCCCAAATCAAATCCAATACAACAACCTTTTCTAATTTGTCTAATAATCGTACACCAAGTTTTTCAGCTAAGTTAAAAATTCCGTAACTTGAAAATAATGTAATGATTGCAGACCTCATGTCTTTTGATAATTGTCATTGACCTATCCAAATATCAAAAGAAATAAATAACAAATAAATTCTCAAATTTTACTTAACATCAACTCTTCTTATCAAATTATCGTCATGATTATTTTTTTAATAAAAAAAATTTTCTTGTTTCGATTTAATAAATTTATTAAATAAGTAATCTATAATGTGACGTCACTACCATCCTATTTAAATAAATATGGTGAAAGAAAAAATAATTGTATTAAATGAAATACACATATTTTTGGAATGAATGTACAACTCAAAATGGACTTATGATTCTTAACCAAATAATAAAAAAAGAAAATGGAGAAATTATTTTAAGTAATAATTTTATATAGAGAATATCAAAGAAAAAACATTCAATTCTTTTGGTTATGTCTGTAAAGATTAGAATCTAGAGGAAATCCTAATATGGATTTTGGGTTTTGAGTCAGCATCTAAATACAAGATTTCAAATTAAATGATAATTCACTCTTGGATATTGTAGCAAATGAAGCAATTTTTCATCGACTTATTTAAATGCTGTGAAAAGTGACCAAATATAAGACCTATGTAGCTTTTTTAAATGGAATTGTTTATTATTTAATCATTCAGGGGAGTCAATATTTCTGTAATAACGATTAAAATTGCATTTTGTTTTATTTGATCTTTTTTAAGAAAAAATAAAATATTTAAAAATATTTATGTTAAGTGAAACGATCGATAATCAATCAATAATCAATATATTATTTTTCTTTTCAAAAACCACCTATTCATTGGGTGGGTTTTTCTTTCTCAATTACGTGTATGTATCCAGTATATATTAAATTTTTCCATTTTGGGTCTCGAAAATATTCCCAAAAGAGAATATAACAGGAAAGTGTTTTTGGTTGGAGCTTCAAATCTCCGTTACGTATTCAACGTGACTTCGACGTGACTTCGCAATTAGACTACGATTCCACGTGCCGACGAAATTCGCAACTTATTAATAATTCCTTTTTTTTTAATTTATACGTCATGTAGGATCTAACTCTATTAAAAAAGGAAAATTTAATATAGTGATGACAAAGTTAAATAATTAAAGCTAAATTGATAATCAGTCGTACGTGATTGGTTATTTTAAAAAATTAACATAATCAATTTAGGTAAGACTTTTATTTAGAATAACCAATTTGGGTAAGACTTTTATTTATGAAAGTTTCATAATAATTTGATGTAGAGCAACTCAGCTATTGCTCAAATGGATGAAAAAACATTTCTTTCTTCAATTAGTCCAACAGTTGTCGCAATAAAGAAAAAAAAAAGATAAAAACTAAAGATTTAAAATTAAAATTAAAATTAAAATGAAAAATAAAAAAATAAAAAATAAAAATAAAAATAAAAATAGAATTTATGATAATTTTCATTCGGATGTGTAACATATTGCTGTAACGCACAGGAGGAAGATATCTTAATGTTACGCGACTTTGTTAAGAAATAGTATACTTGTTTGATACATTAGGGAGGAATGCAATTGCCAATTTAGTAAAATTCCCTTTTTTTTTTTTTTGTTGAAAAAATGTATGATGTGCGAAAAACGGAAGACTGTCAGTTTGTTCTCTTCCTCTACACAAAACTACATAAAACCTACATAAAACTTTACAGAAAATCTTTAAAAATTCACAAAATTTCATTACAACGCAACATTGAAATATTTCTAACATTTTAAATATTTTATTATGGAGGAAATTAAAAAAAGGATAAAAAAGGTTAGTTATCATATATATTTGTTACTGTGCTCAGTATTAAACTTTTTTTTTTGATTTATATTATAAATTCTTTTATTTAGTTCAAAACAAGAGTGACAGAATCAAAATGGACAAAACTTTTTGTTCTTGCCTCAATTTTACAACTTTGTTGTGTGGTTTCATTAGAAGCTCGAGTACTTCATAGAAACAATGACTTTAAGAAATCAGTTTCAACCCGATATGAATTTCATAAAGCAAGATTAGAACAATGTAATCTTAAACCATCAATCGATCGTATGTCACTTATTGCACAAGAAAATATCGTATTTATGGTTTTTCAATTATTCCAACTTTGGTTTTGTCTGAATGCGGTAATTTTTTGTCATGGAATTTTCCTTTTTGATAAATTAATTTCAAAAATTCTTTAATTTTCATTAAATTAATTTATTTTTTAAAAAAAATTTTTTTTTTTTAATTTTAAATAATTTAGATTTATAATCAGAATGTAATGCAGGTAAGAAAGAATGAAAGAAAGATAAAAATATTAAAACAAAAAATTCAGATATAATTGCTTTTTATTAGATTATTACAATTGCAGTAATAAATTTTATATGTGGACTTTTCGGAATTGTAAGTTTATTTTTTTTAAAATAAACTCGATATTTAATTATTATAATCAAAATGCGTAATAGATATAAAATTTGTATATTTTATTTAGGTTCAAATCTTCGAAATCTTAAAATGGTGTTCAGATTTGGATAAAGCTTGTGCAGGAGAATCGGCTTACATTGATAAAAATTTTGGGGAATTTGACGTCCCACTTGTAATATGTTTAATTTTATTTGCAACAATTATTGCATTCTTGAGTTTTAAACTTTATCAGGTATTATTTTTAGTTATCAGTTTTCTTGGTTTTGTTGGTTTCATTCATTTATTTTTTTTTTTTTAATTTATTCTAAACTAAAAAAAAAAAAAAAAATTGATTTTTGAAAATTTTTTAGCAATTTGGATGGAATATATATAAGAAGATAGGAGCTGATATTAAAATTCAAAGTATATGATTCTTTTAATTTATTTGTTCTTCAAATATAATAATTATTTTAATTAAATTAAATTTTATATCCAAAAATTTTTAGAAATCTATAAAACTATGCTCATTTTTGTCATGTACCTAAAACTTGACTTATTCTTCGTTCTGGTTACTGCCATCGAAGTATTTTTATCATTCAGTGTCGATACTTCTGGATCAAGTTTCACTTTTAAACTTCCCAATAAATTATATTATTTCCATCTTGGTATAACAATAATGATATTAATCTTGGAAATTTTAGCATACCGTTCTGTAAGTATAAATAACAAGATAATGATTTATAATATTTTTTTATATTAAGATATTGATTTATTATATTAAATAGCTGCGATACGAATCGAAAATTGGAATGATTACATATTTGGTATTATCTCTTTTTACGGTTGTTGATTTTATAATTCTTTTAAAATTCGCCACCGACAAAATCTCACAAAGCTGGTATTTCTTTATCGTGATTGGTAAGAATTTATGAGTTTATCTAATACATTTTTATAACTTTATATTTAATTCATTTTTATTAATATTATTTTATTTAATTTTCTTAATCAATAATTTTTTATTACTATTATTTTTAAAACAGTTGTGGTGGCTATAATACTGTCATTAGTAAGTAACAATATATTATATTTTAATTCCTTCACTATATAAAAAATATATTTCCACATCGTTCACGTATTAACTTATTAATTAAAATATACTTTTTATTGATTTTTAGCTGACATGGGTTTGGACTTTATTTGTGCTCATGAATTTCGACCAAGGTTTAGATAAATATCGTAAGTTAAACAAAACCTAAATTTCTCTTATAAATCATCACGATTAACTTTTATCATTAATTATTAACGAAAAAAATAAAATAAAACTTTTTTTAATAGTCAATAAAACGAAAGATAATGAAAATATAGATCTAGAAGGAGTAACACAAACCAGACCTAAAAGATTCACCATCGAGGATTAATAAGATTTATCTAATTGCCATTTTTTTCACGAACATTATTTGTATTTTTTTTTTTTTTATCATTATTTTTTTCATATTAAAACGTCTGTAAATTTACATCAATCACGCTTATTTATTACAAAATAGAATTTTTTTTTCTTATTAACTGCAAAATTTATTAAAAAAAAATTCATTCATTATTTTTAATCCATTATTAATTATATTTGATTATTTTAATTTTAAGTTTTTTTCTCCATACTTTTATGTAAATTATTATTTGTATTTTTATTGTTATAGCAAATAAATTAACCTATGAAATTAATTTAATGATAATCCTTTGAAAATTTATTACCTGTATTAAATTAATCTTAGTGTAAATATTATTCTCAGGAAAATAACATTTGAGTTATATGTAAATAGTTATAATAAAATTTTTTTTTAACGACAAAAATTACATAATAAATGTATAAATAAATTACTGATTATAATATTTATATCTATTATAAAATTGTCCCAATTCTGAAACACGAATTAATAATAATTTATTATATTTTAATTTAGTTTCAATATAATTAATTTTATGTTTGAATTCTGATAAATATTAATTATAGTCGAATCGCGAATTAATGTTCTACAGATTATATAGCAACGAAACATTTTGTATTTTATATACTTAATTCGCGATTCGCGAGAAACGGAAAGGATTTACATAATAAATTTTGGGGTAAAATAAATAATCGAAAAGAAAGTTTTGTTTATTAAAAAAAGGAAACTTTATCTTATTTTATTAATGTAACCATTTGACTTTAAAAATATATACAATCAGAACCTTTGATTTTTTTATCATAATTGATAAAATGACTTTTGTAATTTTCCCATTCCGGCTTGAGATTATCGCATATATATTTTTACTATATAACTTATCCCCGCATGTAGATCTTTCCGTTTCTCGCGAATCACGAATTAAATATGATATTGTAGCTAAGAACAAGGGCTTTCGATCTCTCATATAAATACTTTAGTAAAAAATTTCTCCCTGTCTCGTAAATCGTGACCGAAATCAAAAAATAATAAAAATATTCCGTGATAAAATATTAATTTAATTAATGATAGTTGAACCGACAATGAAGTTAAAACCATGGTTCGGTTCGACTCAAGGGTCCAATCGGCGACTTTTTGAAACCGAACAAACCGGAGTCGAACCGATAACATCCCTATTGGTTAATCCAAAATCCACTTCTTGAGGTGGATTGGACAAAATTCACATCTTGTGATCTATCTCATATAAATCATATAAATCTCACAAGTAATCCAATATTATGTGGATTCAGCAAATCATATTTCCATTCCATTATCATCACTATTAATCTACTTTTTTCATTTAATGTATTTGTTTTTAAGAAAACAAGTATTTTTTTTAGTTTGCTAAGAATGCAATAATGCAATAAAAGCTGAAATGACTACTTCACCATTAAAGTGTCAATTTTTAATATAAGAAAAGGTAGAAAAAAAAATAAATAGGATTAGCTTAACCAGATAATAAAAATACTCATTTTAAAAAAACCTAAAGAACTTGAAACTAGTTGAAAGTTACATAAAAACAATTTAAATTTAATATATATGATTTAACATGTTTACAAACATGACATGTCTGAGTAAACAAGTCATATGATTAATGTAATTTTTGTTAGACAGAATAATAATGGAAGAATGTATTGTGTTTTTAGAGTGTTTGTTATATGTTCTATTTACTTTAAAATAGATACTTTTGATTATTGAAGGAATGTATAATCATCAGTTCAAAAATAAGATAGAACATAATTTATTATCAAAATTTTCCAAATCTTTGAGTAATAAACTAAGAAAAAATATGAGTTCTTAATCAAGAATTTTTTTTTATTTATATCAAAGTAATTTTCAAAAACTCAAACCCATAAATTTTGACATTTGATTTCTTTACACAATAAAATTATAATTATTACCATTGCTATTATATGGAAAAGTTGTATTTTTCAAAAAAAAAAAGTCAAAGTGAAAATTGCTTTTTTTTTAACCATCATTTTGATAATTTTAATTTTTTAATTGGTTTGTAAGAGGAAATAAAAATTTCACACTTTTTATATTTCTTTGATAAACTTCCTAAACTATTCAATTTTTTTATAATTTATTAAATTAATAAATAATGATCTTCACTTTTACCTTTGAAAAGCATAAAAATTATATGGAAAATGTTAATAGTAATGTAAAAAAAAGTGAAAACTTGTTAAATGCATAACGCATGATGTCATATGAAAAGAGTATAATATAATAGACAATATGATGTATTATTTAATTAAAGGCTGGTGAAAATTAATTGGTTGAAATTAATAAAAATTACCATTTTACAATAATAGTTAATTCATAACCAATTTAAAGGGATGTCTTTTTCTTTCAATATAAGAATAAATGGATTAGACATTTCATTCTTTATTATCATCGATTCTAAAAATATTCACATTATTACTTTAAGAAAAACCTAGATGATAATTTCGTAAGAGATTATTACCGAAAAAGGTATTGATGTACCAATCATCATTTTCATAATATATGACGAATCTTACGTGCTACATTTTTAAAAAATTTGATATATATGATATGAAAAATGTAAACATTGTTATTAACGTTACTTATATTAAATTTATTTATAAAATAATCTTAAGTTATGTTGGATTTATATAATAAAAGTAAGAGTTAAAAAAAAAATAAATAATTTTAATATTTATAATAGCGTAAACTCAAATGATAATTACTTCATTTTAGCTTGTATTGGATATGCGATTGAAGAAGAAGTTTATAAAATTGAATCAAGAAATATTTTCAAAAATGATGACAAAATTACTACTTCAAAAATGTAAAATATTTAATTTCTTTTTTTAATAATAATAATGATAGTGATAATAATTGATAAACTAATGAGTTTTATTATTTTATTATTTTTTTATTTTAAATCTTTAAGCAACAAAAATTCAAAACTATATCAAACTATAATTAAGTTATTAGACTTCTTTATTGATCAATTCAACAAACAACATACAGATCGTGTGTCAAATGTAATCAAAAATTATATTAAACATTCAAATATAAATCCCGTTAAAATATTTCATCACTTAATTCAACTTCAGAATCACAAACCTTATCTCCTTCATTTCTCAAGCATGATAGGATTTTTCTATCAATATGGAATTGGTACATTTATTGATAATCAATTAGCATTTAAGATGTATAATATATCCGCAAATTTAAAAATTGATTTGTCAAAAATAAATTATTATATTATGAATAACAAATTCATAGGTCAAGTTTCATTGGGAATTATGTATACATTTGGAAGTGGTATTCAAAAAGACACAAAAAAAGCATTTCAGATTTTCATAAAATCTGCTAAAGAAGGTTCCGTCAAAGCTCTTAGTTGCATTGGATTTTGTTTCTATACGGGAAACGGTGTAAATAAAGATGAAAGGAAAGCATTTAAAATAGATTCGAAATCTGCCGAAAAGGATGATCCAGTGGGTCAATTTAATGTTGGTTATGATTTTCTTGAGGGAGTAGGAACTGTAAAAGATGAAAATAAAAGTTTTACTTGGTATTTAAAGTCTGCTGAATTAGGAAATATTAGAGCTCAACATAATATTGGTTATTATTATCAGAAAGGAATTGGAATATCGAAAAATAAAGAAAAAGCTTTTGAATGGTATTTAAGATGTGCTAATTTAGATTTTGATATTTCTCAAGAATGCATTGCGAAAGCTTATCTTAAGGGCATAGGTGTTGAAAAAAGTGAAAAGCAAGCATTTGAATGGTATTTGAAATCAGCCGAGAATGGAAATGCTTTCGCTCAATATAAGGTTGGATTATGTTTTGGTGATGGTGTCGGAACTAAAAAAGATATGATAAAATATATTTATTGGCTAAATGAATCTAAAAAGAATGGTGATTTAAGTGCCGAAGAGTCTTTAAATAATTTTATAATACAATTAGATCATAATTAATATTTTTTTTTTTTGATTTTTATATTTTGTGTTAAAAAAATAAAACATTTATATTTGTCTAAGATTGACTGTTATTATTATCACTAAGTGCTTTGTATTGTTAATATAAAAATAATAAAATTTTCAACTCTGTATCGTTTAATAATTTTCGCGTTTAACAGCTATTTTAAAATACGTAAATGCTTCCTTACTTACTCTTCATCTCTTCAACAAACAAAGTCTTACATTCTTTCATCCTTTTAAGATTTAATTCCAGCAGTAGTATTCAACCCATCTCAAGGTAAATATACAGGCTTTCATACTCAAGATAATGAACAAAGTCACTTTTTCTGTCTCTTTTAAACGTATAAAATGTTCAAGCTGGACATTCCAAATTGAGACTATTATTGTAACCTTTATTTTCTATACCGTTTAATTGTTTTTTACGATCTGAATTTTTTATTAAATAATAGTTAACCACGTAACGATGATGAATTAGAAAACCAGGAATTTTTATGACTAAATGAACTATTTGGCAATCGGACTGGATTTTGAGTTATGCATTCAGAGCTTTTATCTTTTTTTTTTTTTGTTGTTTGATTCTATTTCTTTACAATATTACAATACGATTTTTCATTAAATAATAGGTACACGTGACAAAACCACGATAACGAATATGCATAAACTTATTTCTTATTTAAATTTTTTTCTATTTCCATCTACAACTCACAATCTAAAATATATTTACTTATGTCATTATTACTAATTATCAGTTAATATTATGTTATTCGCTTCGAATAAATAAAATTTAATTTAAAACTTTATAATCAAACGAAAAACGCTAAAGCTCACCGATGGTGATTGTCACCACTGGGCAAAATTAAATTGGGCAAAGTTAAATTGGGCAAAGTTAGGGTTAGGGGTTGATCAGGAATTATGTAATTTTACCCGGAGGTGCTTTTAAATCTACATTTTGGTTAAAATAAACAAAAGTCATGTGTTATTTAACAATGTCAGCTCTTCGTATCTTGACGAGGTTAGCAAGAAAAAAACCCTTCATTGTCAATCAACAACATAACATAATGAACTTGATCGGGCTTTTTATTCATCTGGTTTTTTCATGTATTCACCTTGCTTCTAAAATCAAGGCTGAATTCTGTTTGGGCGGGCGCAGGTTGATAATCTTTATATTTTAATTAGTTGATCTAATAAACAAGGATAATATTAGTTTCAAAATGGCATATTTTAGTCTCTTGGACTCAATTTATGTTGAAGGCAAGCAAGAAATTATATTTTATCATTATAATTATTATATTTAAATTAATGTATTTATGATGTTACGTTGTTAAATTTATTAGGTGATTTATGGGACAAAGATAAATATATAATTATAGGATTTATTGTATTTATTGCTTTATTATTTTTACTTTCTTTGATCACTTTCATCAAAAAACCAGAAGTAAGAATAATCTTTTTTTGTGCACTTTCAAAGTTAGAATTATTGAGACTATTATTGAAATTTGTTTATTTCTACAGTCAAAAATTGGATCAGTTTTAAAATTCGATCTTTCCTTAATTAACTTTATAATTAATACGATCTTTACAATATATTATGCAAAAGAAGTAAACGGAATTTATCTTCCAAGGTCCGTTTTTCTAATTGTCAAATGTATATATAATATGCACCTTTTTTTATTCTTGCTTATCTCTTTTTTTTTTTTAGCATTATCATTCTTGTAGTGCATGGAATATTAAATGAAGCATTTGGATTATTTCTAATTCAGCGTGAAAGGGAAAGAAAAATTTTATTTGATAATTGGTGGAAAGCTCACGCAACAATTGGATCATTATTCACATTTTTATCATTTGTGGATATTTATTCAATAAAAGTTATCTCTTCAAATATAACAGAAAACTCAAGTTTTAATGCACCATTTTCAAAAAGTATTAAAAGATACATTTATTGGGTTGGATTTATTGCATTTATAACAAGAGATATCCCTCAATTCCTTATTCAGGTAAGCGATAAGAAGAATTTCTCCCTATTTTTTTTTTTCTGTCTCTTTTTCTTGTTCTTTTGTTATATTGATTTTTCTTTTTCTTATTTTCTATACTTCTAAATTTACAGATAATTTACTACGACTCAACTTTACATAATCATTTAATACCGTTATTAAATTTCATAATCTCTTTTGCTGTAATGATATTCAATATATTTTGGAGAATTAACCATATTACTATTTGTATATTTAGTATAAGATATAAGGAATCCTCTAATACAAAAGATCCGAATAAGAAGAAAAGGAGAAAGATTGAGATTGTGAAAAGAAATGGTATTAAAACCATGAAAGATAAAGATAAATTAAAAGGTGTAATCGTTGAGTCGGAATAATAGCAACTAGTGATTTTTATTTATTTAATATTATATTTTTATATATTAAACTGTATGTACTTAATTTAATTTTCATTCAATAAAACAATGTAAAATTCAAATAACAATTTTAATACCATTTTTATTTATTAACGTAATGATTATTTCGATTATTGAAAATTGCTCGAGGAATGCAACAGGATTTTTATCATAAATTTTGTTTACCTAAATTAAATATTTTCCATTTATTATTTGAGTAACTTGATGACAGCAATTGTTTTTTTTCTAAAGAATTAATTAGATTATTCAGTTTGTCACAATAACTTACAGCGTTAGTTATTTCTTCATATTATAGTAATTTTTAATCCTTATGACATTTACATTCAACGGCTTTTTCCAACTTTCTCTCCTTTCTCCTTTTTTTCTTACATCTTTTCAACTTGCTAGTTTTAATTCATTTAATAATTTTTCTCCCATTGTACCTTTTTCACACGTGAAATATTTTCGGAAAAATTAACAAGTCACATGGACCAAGCCATATGCCGTTTTTTTTCTTTGAATATGCAAACTATGCGTCAAACCTACTCTAAATGACACTTCTCATGACGCAATTTTTACAATTGTGGATCAACTAAGCACTTGCACAACTATGAATGGACTTCCTTTCATATCAGATTCATTTTAATTACTTTATATTATTAAGCCATAGAAGTGATCACAAAATGTATGAACGGGATATATTTTCTAAAAGATTTCATTCTCCTAACAATTTAACGTAATAATTTACACAATTTTACTTACATATAAAAAAAATTAATAAAGTAAAATTTCGGAGACATAAAATCGCATGGCAATTATGACCAATTTTTGACAACAAATCTTTTTTTGACAAATCTCCTTTGACAAATTTTTTTGACGAATCTCGTAAAGAAAAAACTCGGTTATGCAAGCTATGGTTTGAAAAAGATATTGTCATTGTCATTTGACAAGAAATTCTCGGAATTAGAACCTTAATTTGAATAAAGTGGCGTTCGATATCGGAGTCTGTATGTCAATTTAAGTGCTGTCAAAAATTAATAAATTTAGTGATTATGCGGTGTAACTTTGTGTCAACTTTATTAATTATTTGATGAACAAAAACATTTATTTAATAATTATTGTTAAAGATTCTTTTAATTATTTTTTTCTTAAGATTATATTGTGATTCTTAGTCTTATATTGTGATTCTTAGTCATAAATGCTTATTGCAGTATTAAGAAAGGATGGTTGGTAAGATGATTAATTTCCTTTGCGTGACATGTCAAACTTTTAAAAACAAATCGACATAATTTGACAGAATTTTATTTAAAGAAAGACCAATAAAATTATATTGAATTTATGTTGAATTGATATTGAATTAATGTTGGATTTATGTTAAATTTATTTTTACAATAGCAATTGTTCCTTTATTTTACGAATTTACGCTGAAAAATGATTCGCGTGTAACCAACCTGTCAAAGATTCCTTAGAGATTTCATTAAATTGGGTTATCGTATTTAAATTAAAATTTTTAAAAAAAATAAATAAAATTAAATAAAGTAAAATAAAATAGGAAAAGTGAATTAAATCTTTACTTGATAAATAATGATTTAATACTTGTCTGTAAAATTGATCTTTTGAATTTTACAAATTTTATTTTGTTTAACACATGTTTATAATAAATTACGCGTTTTTTTTTCTTTTTTTTTTATCTCAAATGAAACGCCATGAAAATTTCATTATGAAACAAAGTTGGTTTCGAATTTGATATTTCATGAAAAAAGAGACTATCTGATTAATAACATGAACATCATATATTTCTTTTCAAGTAAATATATAATTTATAAATTTGAAAAATTTAATATAAATTTAATAAAAAATTTAATATAATAGTATAAATAAATTTCGACTATATAATATGAAAATAGCAAAATTAATGTGTCACTAAAGAATTGATTTTTATATTCGGATATTGAATAAGAAGAATAATAATTATGATTATAATTGTAATAATAAAATCCCCCCCCCTTTATAATTTTATTCACTTTTTACTCATTAATCAGCTTAAGGCTTTCTTTTGCGATTGGTTCTTCAAATATTGTTAAAGATTAATCATTAAAATTTGTTTCAATTGTTTAAATGTTGTATTATTATATAAGACAAGATATTAGTCATCACCGAAATAATGATCTTTTTATTTCAGATAAGAAAGGTTAAAACCTTAAAGAAAGTAAACGTTAAACAAAAAAAAATTATTGCCATTTAAAATAATTTTTATTTTAAATAAAAAAAAATTAATAATTTCTTTCATATATATATAATTTAAATTCTAATTATAGGACCAGATTTTCCAAGTCGTGTTATCCTAAATAGTTTACTATCGAACATAAAGAATTTTACAAAAATAGCCTAGTTTAGTAATTTCTAAAAGCATTCTCTTATCTTCCAACCAAAATCTTATATTCTTTTTGAAATTGTTTTCACTCAGGCCAAGTGGACTCAGTATAAAAGGAGAATTTATACCCTGTAATAACTCTTTGAGTAATTAAAATAGAATTATAAAAAACCCTAATACAAGTTTTTTGATTTAAAGTCAAATGTCAATACTATTAACATACCTACCGAATCTATTTAGTACCATGCATCATGTGATGAATCAGCAATCATTTAAAAAATTTAAGATGACATAATTAAAATTCTTTTTTTTTTTTCTTAGAGTCCTACATTCTATACCTATTTTATTTTATATATCATACATTTCGAGATGTTCAAGGATTGCCACGTTTTATTAAAAAATGTATGCATCTAATTTTAGTTTGAATAAATTATTATTATTATTATTATTATTTATGTGTTTACGTAATTTATATTTTCTTTATTATTTTTTTTTTCTTCTTACAAATATTATTAATATTACATATTATTAATATTTAATGCAGGGCAATTACTAAATTAATAAATTAATAATTAATCCATTGTAAACTATTTTAATGTAATAATATTAAGCTCCATTTCCAAGACAATCAAGCAATTACATTATTATTGTTGTTATTGTTATATTAATTAATAATTAAATAAATTAATTATTTTATAGTTGATTATTTATAATTCTATGCTTTTTAATTTATTCTTTATTGTAATTTATACTTATACTTAATATTTGTTTTGAAAAAATCATAAAATAAAAAATATCCGAAGATTTGTTAAAAAAAGTATTCATAATTAAATATAATTAAAAATTGAATATAATTGAATATAATTAAATGCAATTAAATATAATTAAATATAATGAATATATAATTGAATATATAATTGAACATATAAATCGGAATAGAGATTCCATTGAATGAGAGAATGGAGAGAAGTACTTCTATCTGTTTCATTTAGAGGATATTTATCTAAAAATAGAAAAATTGGATTATTCATTTATGTCAATTTTATCATTTATATTCATTATCATCTCTAACTTCATATGCTAAGGAGTTTTGACTCATGTAAATGTTTACACCTTTACTGACTAATATTGGTTAATGATTACACACAAATCCATTATATATATATATATGTTTATATATTTATATGATAAAAAAAAAAAAATTTAAAAACTGCATGTAATTTCTTCGTCGTCAACAATGGATATAGTAGTACCTAATTTTACTCGCATATTATAATCATTATTGATGCATTTAAATAAAAAAAAAAAAGTTGTCTAACAATACTCCTACATTATTTACATTATTATTGCTTTTTCATTTACCCGATTAATTATTAATACTTATTATTGTGGAATTATTATAGATTGATTACTGTAACGTTTGACTATTGTTAACTTTTATGTAAATTTCTTCGGTAACGTTTGACTATTGTCAATTTTTTTAAATTAAGATCAGTTTCGGGATTATATCATTACATTAAACTAAGTAAATATTCAATCAATACTCAATCAATCAAAATAATTAATAAATTGTGAATTAAATGCTAAATAGAATAATTACAATCAATTAAAATCAATAAAATCTAAAATCAATAAAATCAATAAAATCAATAAAATCAATAACTAATCACTTATAATATTTCCTTATTCTGACTTTGCATTTTATAAAGTTAGAGATTAATTCAGCGAAATACACAAATACACAAATTCAATTAAAGTTTCAGAAGGACGAACTGTCACTTGTCATTTATATATATATGTATATTCATATGAACATAATGTATTGATTATCTATTCTGAGATATTCCTCTTACCAAAATCAAGGGACCAAACATCGTTAGCAAAAATTATTAGCAGGTCATCTGTTTCATCTATTGAGCAAATAAATCATGACTTCAAGATTACTACTAAAATTGTTAAAATTGGAACCGTTTCAAAACTCTGTTTTAAGCATTTAAAAAGAAACTAAATATAAAAAGGTAAATTAAGATGATCTACATCTGCAATTTAGAATTGAGCACATATAAAAGGTAAAGCTTTACTTTAAATTAGCCAATTACATTGATAATAAAATTTTTTCGTGAGAATGATTTTTCTAAAAAAAGTTGATTCACAAATATTAGATCTGAATTTTGAATTTAGAACTAAATTTCGATTTTTCTTTTTCTTTTTTAATACTAAAATTTAAGGTTTCAGCATTTACCTTTTTCGGATTTTATTTCAACTATGATTTAAAATTTTTTACAAAGAATCAGGGGAAATTTTCAGAAAAAAACATCAAAGTTTCTCGGGGCCTTCTCATCTTTTTCTTTGATTCTACTTCATGATTAGAATCTTAATCCTACTTCATGATTAGAATCTTAATTCTATTTTTTCTTGCAAAAAATGAGCAATGAAACTATTCTCTTGATTAGAATAATATTAATAATTTTTTTTTATTATGATTTTTATTATTTACGATAGATATTGCATAAATAATTAAATAATATGATAAATTTAAAATAAATTTGGCTTCATTAATGTATTAAAAAAAACAAAATTTCATCAAATTTATCATTAATTTGAATGATTCTAAAGTAGGAAATAACCAAATGTTATTTATTCATAGAAAATTTTGATTGCATGCACTAAACAAACATTATTTTAATTTTCCCATTCACTAAGGAAAGAAGTCTGGGAAAAAAATATATTGCATAAATATAAAAATTTTTTTCTCGGTTAATGAAGCTTTTTTAGTTTTTAATTTACAGAATTTTTCAATATTTTTTTTTTTTCATTTTTGTTACTTTTTTGATGATTATCTAAAAGATAAAATTAAATTAGTTTCTAAAGTAAGATTATCTTTTTGTTATTATTTGAAGATAATCAAAAGTAGGTTCAATGTCAATATACCTAGTTTATATTCATTTATTAATAATAATAAAAAAATAATAAAATAAAAAGAGTTAATTTAAAGTTAATATCGGAAAAATCTGCTTTTCCAAAGACTTTTATATTGTTTAACCAAACAATAAATATTATTATGAATAATATTAATAATAGTTATAATATTATAATTTTTTTGGATGTTCCATTTGATATTTCATTCGTTGTAATCGTTAGTTTTAGATAATCAAATTTTATTTTTAATTTAATAATTATTACTTTATTCTCATTACTTTACCATTTTAAGATAATAATAAATAAATACAAATTTATTTTGTTATGACGTAAATGTTTTCATTTTACATTTTACATTGTTGCTATAATCGTTACTACATATAAACGTTCTTATATTATGAAAATATGAAAATACCAAGAGAATAACAAATAATATAAACAACAATAATAATATGGATGATAATAACAATGATATCAAAGGATAATAATATAAATATAGTACTAGATAATATACATTTTATTTATGCTATATTTAGATATTTTATTCATATTTTTCTTGGGCAATATATGCTATATTTAATGTGTGTTACTATTCTTTCATTTTTAGGATGAACTTTAAAAAAAATAGTACAATTTTACACACACATATATATATAAATTATACAAATGCTTTACTTTTGTTTTTAATTTAATCACTAAAAGAGGAATATTCATTTAAAATTGATTAATAATAAAAAAATATTATTATTTGTTACCAGTTGACTTAAATTGGATGCCGTGAATGATTTTATATACACAAGTTCACTAATTATAAAACTCTATGAAAAAATTCAATTTACTACTAATCTTTTGATATTCTAAGCCTTTCTTGTATTATGATACCCAAATTTTCCCCGTCGATCACTGGTTGAGAATCGCGTTTATTTTATTTGATATACTCTTATGTCGTTGTGGAGTACGCTATTTTTGATCAACTCACTTGCCTTTTTTTGTTATATATTATATAACTAAAATTTAGGTTGATATTCTCTTACTAAATGATTGATTATTTATTTACATACGTTCAATAAATATTCTATAAATAAAGAAAATAAGTCGCAAAATGCGCAGTCTAAACAGGTTTCGGAAAAAGCAAACAATTATGTTCCCCACAGCCAATTTGCATTCTTGTTTATTTGGTGTTTTGCTCTTTTGTTTTCTTTTGTAATTATTTATTAGTTAATCATACGAGATGCTCTTTCTTTTTATCAACATTAGCCAATTCTCCTCTTTGAGAAAACCAAAAACCAATTAATTTAATTAATCTTGAAGGTTAATATATTGTTTTAGGACAGTTCCTCTTATTTATTTATTTTCTTTCTTTCTATTTGTTTCTTTTCCCTTTATTTATGTATTCAATTTATTCATAAAAGCCAAGCCATATCTTTAAGAAGGAATTCATTTGTTACCTTTACATTTTAAAGTTATCGGTTATTAACTAATGAAAATAATCATTTATTAGGCAAGACATTCTTTCTCTTTTTACCGATTACCGAAGAAGTAAGTACACGAAAAAACAAAATAGTCAATTTTATTTTGTAGATAGAATATACGTATCTTTTACACCATCTACATCATTTTACATTATATTTGTACACATCGTACACATATTTATTATAATAATCCAAAAATAATTAATGAGTAATGATATCCTGAATGACACATTGTTTCTATTTTTAGCTATCTTAAGATCAAAGTTTTTTTTTTGGACAACCAAAAGGAAAAAGAAAATTTTAGAAACAGTAAATTTTCAGAATAATATAAATAAAATATGTATAACAAAATGTTAATGCATTCTAATATTGCTTTGAAACTTTTGAATTAACTTTCTTTTTTCTTCAATTATTTATCCATAACTTGAAAAATTTCTTTGTTTCATCAATGTTATCTATAAAAGGTATTATTATTCTATCGAAAGGAAATTGAATTTTGTCTTAAAAAGTTTTTATTAGTCATTAACTAGATTAAAATGTATTCGAAAATGCCGAATGGCGTATTTTTAGTTTCTTTCTATCTTTAATAATACCCACCCCCTGTTTTTTTTTTAAAAAGGGCTCAATAGATGTATATTAAGGCTGTTATAACATAATAGGATATATATGACCTAAAGCAAGGGATTGTGCGCGGTGTGACTATGCATGTAAAAAAAAAATACGCGCTCGTGGGCATTAAAAAAATTTTTTTTTTCTTCGTCTCCATTTCTCCATTCGTGAATTATTTTTATTTAATCCTTTCTTTAAAGAAAATATGCCGGAAACATAAACAAACAATAAAAAAAGGGGATTCATTGTCTTTATTTTTTCTTTGATTCAAAAATTTTCAAATTTCTATATATGGATGGAGTTTCCAAGAAGAACTGTTGATTCGCTATATGTATTCAGAAATTTTGGCATTTTTTGATGATAATGATTAACCTGCTATTCTCTATTTTACAAAAAAAAAAAAATCGAATAAAATAGCATTTGATCGTTAACATGCATACGCCGTCAATGTGAATTTATCATAGAAAAAAAAAATTTTTCGCGAATGAATAAAAAATAATATGATGTTCTCCTTAATCTGCAACATTTTACAGAAAATTACCGTTATCACAAATATTACCATATTGCTGATATTAAATAATGGCAAATATTGTCAAAATTACCATATTGCAGATATTACAAATAATGGCAAATATTGTTAATGTTACAAATATATTACAAATACTATAAACATTACAAATATTACAAATATTACTAATTAATAATTGGTTAATTAAGCGAGATATTTAATTAATTGAAGTAAATATTATGAAGAATGAATAATTTACTTAAGGCGAATTATAGAACATCTTTACGGTAACGGTATTAATAAATGTGTTCAATGCACATTTACATTAGTGATAAGGAAAATTAATACGAAATATGGAAATTGGGATTTTCTTTTTGATAGTTTTAATAGTTACATGCAATGTACGAAGGAACTTCATTTTATCGAATAAGGATAATCAAGAAAAAAAAATGCGAAATTTTCTTCGAGACAATATTATAATTGATATTGATATATCTGACAATTGATTGCTATTGATATATTGAATATGCGCTTAAAATTATATAATTTATATTAAATTTTTATCTAAAATTTCTCAAAGGCGGAGGCTTGCAGAATCATTGATTATATGTAATAAGAAAAAAATTTTTTGAATGAATAAATGATCTGCTCAACTATACGCGAAATTTAAGAATTGGTAATTTGACAGTTTATTATTTATGCGGTAAACAGCTGACAATAATGAAACTGTTTAAAAAAAAAAAAAAAACTGTTGGTGATTT